AACTTTTAGAAAATTGTTCTAGAAACTTCAGAAAACTCCTAAAACAACGCTGGCACCAGAGAATGAATGAAATGAAGGTCTCGAAAGAGACTTTGCTGAGATTAGCAGCTCGACGATGGCACGTCGAAAATGTGCACTTCGAGAGAGGGGCGGTCACCTCTTCGCTTTCGAATGGCACCAGGTTCGGGCTAGTCGTAAATCGTCGAACTAAGAAGTTAATCGGGCGGAATCTCACTAATACGATGAATAGAAGAGCGAGCAAGAGCGAATGGTAGTGAAATCGGGCAGTCTGGCTTATAGAGTAGTTCAAACACCGTGTCTAGGCAAATTTATGTACATGGATTTTTGTATGGAAGGTGAATGAGAATCCCTGGCTAAGCAAATGTGTCAAATGGCAACTCATATGATTCATTCGCGACCGAGAAATCTAGCTTGAAAGTCTCGCCCACAGCGTAGTTTTTCCAAGCGGGCGGGTAAATCAACGTTCTGGCTACCGTAATGCGGTTAGAGCACTTCCATACAGGAACCGCAATGGCGAGCCGCTCCGGGATGAGACTTGTTCAAACAGATAGGGGGTTCGATAACATTAAGACAAGAGTAGGCAAAGTGTTTGCCTGTCAGTATTGTGTAAAAGGCTGTATTGAAGTTTTTTGACTACGGTACTGGGCGAGAGTTTAGGCTTGAATATTTTGGCCACAAGTGAATTCGACGAGCTAAAAATTTGGCGATGGCTTAGCTAAGGCGTTCAAATTAGTTTCATAAAAATGCAATGTATTATATTAAGATTTACATCGGTACTTTCTTTGAGTCAAGTATCATTTTATCAAACGAATGAGCGCTCCGAATTCCATACTCAAGATATACGATTTGGGAGGGAAAGCAAACAGTTTGAATGGTTGACGAGCGGTTCGATAATAACCATTTGAGTGGATAAGAGTGAGAAAGTAACCAGAAATGGGACACATCCACTGGAACTGCTTTGAGAAACGCAGTAGTAAACAATGGTGTTTGAGCTGATATATAGCAATTCTACGGCTGTTATGAACAAACATGGAATTTTTTCTTTTACGGTTTTTGGCGATTGTGCAGGTTTGGTGATACAAAGCAAAAAAGCAACAAAGCTTGAGGTTAGGAACGTTAATGAGTCACTTAAACAATTAACTTTGCAAAAAGAAAAACAAACAGGAAGAAGTTTGGAATTATGAGCTATGGTTCAAATCGAAATGCTGTGCATCAAACATCTGCGAGGTTAGATTGTATAGTTTTACAGGGTGGCCGAAAAGTATGGGTGTTACATCCACAAATGTAAATCTGTCATTAAACATCAGATTTTGGTTTTTGTTATGTCCCTGTCACAAGCGAAGCTTAAATATTGATATCTAAAGAAATCGTTTGAAATGGACTCCTCTGGCCCTGAAGCAGGTTCGGAGTCTTGTGTTCATGAAGCTACCGTGCGGCGCAGGTAGTCAGTATCAATTTTCACCTAGAAACCTTCCAATTCGTTGCGCAGACACTCCAGACTTGTGATATTCTTCCCCTTCAGACTGTTCTCTAGCACATTCCACACGGAGAAGTCCATCGACTCAAGTCAGGACTGTTGGACGGCCAAGGATCCTTGGGCAGATATTCAACCAGGCTAGCTGAAAGATACCTCAATGTCGAAATCGCTGGATGCGCCGGTGCCAAGTCTTGCTGGAATATCATTTGTGGATGACCGCTTTTTCATGAGAGGACGTACTTTTCAAGAACTTCCTCTTGGTACAACGTGGCGTTGATGTTGACATTTTTTGGCATGAAAACAAGTCGCGCCTTACCCTTCGCTGAGATTCCTGCCCAGACCATCAGACTTGGAGGAAATAGTGACTTTCTAGTGATTTTTTACTTCCGTGACTGTTTATCCTTCGGACTGATTAGCTGACGGCCATTTTGGGGATTCCGACACCCTTCGATGGTAAACATTTCATCCGTTAACAAGACATTCTCAAGGCGGCGCACCTCGAAAATTTCCAACAATTTCCTGCATTCTTCCAAATGACTGGCTTTTGCTGCGCTGGTCAGTTGTGTCCAGTAGGCACTCGGTAGCTGCGAGTCCCAGTTCATCTTCTACTATAGCTTGGAACGACGAACGTGCTATGTACAGGCTTTTCGCGATGCCGTTCAAGCTGACCTCATCGTTCTTGCAAATCCTTTTTTCTGAATAATTCCTCGGATTCTTCTGGTGTTCACCGTGCGCGGACGACCAGTTTCCGGCTTTGGAGCAACATTCCCTTCTTCTCTTCACTGTTTGATAATTTTCTGGATGTCCTCAAAGGCGTGCCTAGCTTTCTTGCAATAGCTGCCGCGGACTCGCCGTGTTCAGCCAAGCGGGCAATGACTTCGCGGTAAGGGCACAGCTACTCAATTTCTTGGTAATCAGAGGACCGCTTGTTGCATACTATGAAGCCAAAATAATTTTCTTGCGCCAACCAACAAATGATGGCTCACGATCAAACATGGCGCCCATACTTTTCGGCCACCCTGCACAGACACCATTATGTATATTAGAGATCTGGTGCAAAACTGTCTGTGTAATATAATGCTGCGCATACAAGTGACTGGTTAGAGCAATCAGAAACTGTTCTCTAGAGTCAATAGATAGCATAATGTAAAGGTAGATCAGCTTAACGCGCTTTGTTTACAGAACCTGCAACGGTTCGCGTTTCAAGGAATTTTTATTGTGGAGTGGGGTGCTGCGGCGCAAAGTTTGCAAAGGAAACTTTGGAGTTCAAGTTGGAGCAGTAGAAGGTACGAGTTTTGAGTTTCAGAAAGTGAAAGTCTAAAGAAGCAGTTTCTCGGTGTTTGTGGAATGTGACTGAGATCATTGTTAGTTAAAGTAGAAGAAGTGCGAAAGGGAATAAAAACTATGGAGTGAATGAATTAGGAAAATGGATTAGTCATAATTGGTGTAATTATATTTGGTTGTCCTAAAAGCAAACTCCACTTTCAAATAATTTGAGTTGTTTATGTTTTCCTAATAGACTTAAGATATCGATTCGAGAGCGGAGCAAGCTCTACAAAAGACCACCAAGGATCCACCTAACTCGTAATCCACGCAAAATTTGGAGCCAAAAATCAAAAGTTTTCAACTATCCTGAAAATCGAATCTCCTACCAGAAGATACCTACGGATTTCTAACTTGGTCTTTATATAATAAACACATAGCAGTACCCAAAACTGTACTTTCTGGATTTTTTTCCGGGACTCAAAATTGAAAGATAAAGATGTTCCAAAAATGTCGAAATGCCTTTTTGAGTTTTCCATGTATAACTTGCTATTTTCCGATCGAGCACATTTAGAAGAAATGTTGGTTATATTTACTAAGGCTTGTAGTATACAATGATATAAGTGGGAGGGGCTGAGGGCGGAGTTAGCCATTTTTGGACTATCTTGTTTTTCACGCTTTCTATGCGCGGAAAAAATCCAGTTAAGGCATATTTGAGTACTACTGTGTGCCTTATGTATAATGACCAAGTTGCAGGTCCGCAGGGTTCTTATCTCGCAAAAATCGAATTTTCAGGTGACAAATTTTTTTTCGATTTTGGCGTCAAACTTCGCACAGTATGCGATAGGCGGACCTTTGATGATTTTGTAGAGCTTGTTCTTCTCTATCGAACGATGCCCTGAGTTTATTAGGAAAGCAAATCAGCCTAAATTATTTGAAAAAGATTTTACTTTTGGGACAACCTGATAACTGTACAGTTTACAAATTCGAGAAAAATGTTTCTGAATACAGAAAACAGAATTCGGGATTCGGTACTGTTAATAGCTTCCTCTCTATCATCTTCCCCCCCCCCCCCCTTCGCCATTTTGAAAGCTCAAAAGGTTTATATAAGCTATCCGTCGATATTACTTGAAAATTTCTAAAATGCACATAACCATCAGTGACGGAGAGAGGGGTTCAAGGGTTGGAAGAGGGAATGGGAGGGGGCGCAAAATTCATGAATGCTCGACATGAGCTATAATTCCAATAACTTCATTTTATCTCTGAATAATTGAATATTCTCCAAAATTATTTGATATTTGGAACAGCTCTGTGGCAAAAAATTTCTTTGGTGCTCGGTGCGGTTTTTCTCAAATAGGGTCATAAACTTGTGAAAAATCTGAAAAGCATCTCAAGGAAATTGTCGGAGGGCGCAGCTAAGTTTCTGTTGCCCCTTTCCTTGGAAAAACTAGCTCTGCTCTGGATGACATTCCCTAGCTGGAAAGAATTTTGGAAAGTAAGATACTCTTCTCCAACTCACCGGAATTTCCGCAGAACAAGCAGAATTTGCAACGGTTTCGCAGCACTTTCGCAGGGTTTCGGCAGATGCCGCAGTGAAAATGCTGCGTAAGCGCTGCGGAAGTTCCGCCCAGTTGTCTGAGAACCATCACTTGGATTTCTGACAATTTACAAAAAGACTGCAAATTACAACTATTCAATACTCCGAGACAAAGTGACTGTTCAGTTGTTCATTTGTGATGAACAGCTGAAAACTCTGAGCATTGAATCTCATCTCCTCCTTCTCCCCCTTATCTTCCAAAGGCCTAAGTTCTATAGCCACAGAAGGGCACTTACTTACCTCAATCCAGTCTTTTTTGGCTCTGAAACTTGATCTTTGCCTGGAACTTTCACTACATTTTACCCGTAAAAAAGGTGTTTCTCGTTCAAATTTACTCTCGAACCCATATCAAAATGGGTTGTGCTTATGATCGTAGTTGTGAGTGTCTTAGTTTACTCTAATTTTCTCGTCTGACTTTAGCGTATTTGTTTAAGAGTAGCCGCGCCGTCGTTGATTTCGATGTTGATGTTGCGACCGGTGGCATTGTCACTTTCTACGCAACACCGGCTGATTCAGAGGCCATTCACTCGTCGACTGACACCCGGCATTTGCCTTACTCCATCCGTTCTCCTTGAAGTGTAATTGGTAACTTCACCCTATTAAGGTGTTTAACCTACTTGTATTCAACAAAAATTTCCAGGAATGCGATTTTTGACAATTTGGCTGGCATTTCCACTATATTCACTCGCGTTAGACGACACAACCGATGAAGAATATTGTACGACTTGTCAGGTATAGTTGACCATTACTCCACAGTTTCTTTGGTGTATTACGAGCTCGAAAAATTCAAATTATGAGCTTAAGTTAGCTTTAGTCACTAGTACATTCCTCTGAATTTCAAATAATTTTGTGTGTTCAAAAATTTTCGTGTGCTCGTCTTTTTTCTTTCCAATCAGTACAGCCACACTCGACACTGTTGTGGAACAGCATAGCTTTTTGCACTTCTGTAAATTCCTGTATATGGCGGTTTTCCGTACTTTGATCACGCACCTTCCGTATTCCTTCGAAAATTATTTTGAATGCAAGATAGCCAGTGCTTACTTAATTACTAATGTATTACGCGATGATGGTTTCAGCTTGAAACAAAGCACGAACATTCTTTTATTGAAGAGTCTTGAAAAATGAAATGAAAGTTGAGAATAGAAAACAAAAATAGAGCAAATAATGTTTGAACGGAAAGCTCAAAATTAATGCAGAACACCTGTCTCGACATTCAAGTCTGCGACAATATTATAGGGAAGAAAGAAAACAAAGAAGATAATATTTCTCCAAAAACTTATGTTTTCTGAAACAATACGCTTGCATGACATGCTTCTTTTTTAGCGCGACCGAATGATACAACTGTAAAATTCCTTTTCACCATTTTCTATACCGCTTTCTATGAAACTCGTCTTATCGCAAATAATTCTTCTCACAGTTCCTTCAAAAAAATTTTATTTCAACGTTTTCTATGATTTCCTGCTTTTTCTTGCTAGTATTGCACCGTGAATGAGACCCTCTTGGAAAATAGTATTTGTCTGAATTCAAAACCCTTTGTTGGGTTTTATATCTGGAAATATTGTATGACATATTTGAAATATGTAATCTCGCCTTTCCAGGCTATGATGACAAATTGCATGGAAATTTACGATGACGACTTTTCCTCCATAACCGAAGCCGAGATATTGTCGACGATGTCTTCACTTTGTGGAAAGTACTTTATAGGCTTTGAAGAAGTCATTTGCAGAATGCTTTGTCAGGCAAGTGCCTTTTCAGGTTTTGTTTGAGGATTTGATTATGCTATGCTCGTCCTTGGCAGCCAATTGGGTGTAAGAATTTAATCTTTGCGAGACTTCCCCTTCATATTCCTTTTTGCGAACGAGTTTGGCTTATCGTCGCCGAACTTTTTCAAGATTACACACTTTTCAACGAACGATGTCCGGTTTCGTTTAACGATATAACAAGACCATTATATAGTTAGCAAACCCATGATTCAGAGGCCATGTGTGATCTGAGTCAGAACACAGCTGTAACATCGTTCGCTGACTTCTGGTAATCCCAGCCACAACTGCATCCAGCCACCATTAGCAGTTCTCAGTGTGAAACGACAGCTTAACGGGGTTTCGAGTCGCTTCTTGGTTCTGCTCGGTTTCACTGTTTTTGGGATAATGCCGATGTTTACTGCTTGGGCTGATGATCTGACTTGTTACACAGTTGGGGAAGAAGGGGAAGGGGTTTGGGGATCCAGGTTTGCTGGTAATTCTATATATGAAGATTCGTTGTGTCTATTCAAAAAAGGTGAAATTGCGGGAAACCTCGCGGCTCCCGCAGCGAACACGCCTGCAAACCTAGCCCTTTATATTACTGGTTCACTAGTTTTTGAGATAATTTTAAAATGATCTTTCCGCTCTGTAAAAGCTAGTGTTTTCAAGTCGCTAGCAAATCTATCTTCCTCACCATTCCTAACATTTGGAATCGATGTTCATAGGATACAGAATGGTGCAAAAATTTTTAATCGGGTTTTTATCTAAATCCCTAGCCCCTAACCACTTGTCATTCATACGCAGTAACTTCATAAGTTTTCCTGAACATCTCTGTGAAATCAACGTAGTTTTTTCAAAGCCATGATGTATAGTTACTTCTTTCTTTTTCCCACCTGTCACTGGCATTTCTCGCACGTGCCTTGAATAGCCGCATTCCTTTTACAACGCCCGGCTAAAGGTCAAAGAAACCAGTGATCCGTTCACCTTAGCGGGACCGGTTCAAGAGATTTCATGTTTTAACTTTGTGTAGAATTTTTTGACCAAATTTCTTCTCATTATTGAGTTCTGTGCGTAAATTGTCTGGTATGGGACAGGGAAAGGGGAGAGGAGAGGAAGGTTGAAATCTGAACATAGTAATAAATTACTTGTATTACCTGCTCCAAAAATGTGAGCTCGCAAAAACTTTGTAAATTCCTCGAAAAATTTAGGTGTGCACAGCACCACTGAGAAGAAGTTTCTATGCTCTTCTCCTCTTTTTTCCTAAAATACTGTCTTACTTTTGCCAAAAATGGGTGGTATCAAGTTGAACCAAACTCTGTCGCAGTTATTTTAAAAATCATAACTTTTTTGTCCTGATAGTCTTGCTTGGCATAATATTGCCAGAAGGAGTAAATAATGTGCTTTTTAAAAACAACTTGCTACTCTCTGTGAAGCTCTGACTGCGGAGACGAAAATGGAAGGAAGAAGATCATTTGAGGTTCGGTGAAACTGAGAGAGCCGTTGAAAAGGTGCAAAGTATGCCATAAAATTCAAACAGTCAACAATATGGATTTTTGATTTCCTCTTTCTAACTGAGCAAAGTGTGTACTTCAAGCTAAAAATTATGATGAGGAACAGCAGAAAACCACAAAATTGATTTTTTGACATTTTTCTCGAAAATCTTGATTTTACATAGAAAATCTCAATCAATCCATACATATGTAGCCCAGTTGAAAAGCAGGGGTCAGGGAACTTATGACAATGACTGCTTTGGTTTTTCTAGTATCTTTTCAGATTTTTGACGAATCGCTTAGAATCACTGATTTCCTTGCCCCATTTTTATTTCTGCTAAAAAAGCTCGATAAAGAGTAACCAGGGCTCGGCAGAGCTGGCACCAGGGAAATTACAAAACAAAGTTTCCCTTTGGTTCTAAAATTTTCGTACGAAGTCCTCTTTGACCCTAAACTCTAAACGTTGAAAACCACCCCCCCCCCCCCCCCCACCCAAAAAAAAGAAACGTTGACTAGATAAACGTCGCAATTTTTGTTCTTTTCGACCACAAAAACTATATCCCCTTTGCTTTTTGTCCCAAAAAATATTCAGTTTGACCCGGCGCCAACTGTGCCGAGCCCTGGTGGGAACTGTATAGGTAAAAAGCACGTTTTTCTTTTCAATAATATTGATGCCATGCAAGACTTCGTAATAGCAACAAGCTACGACTTTAAATTGCGACAGAACCTTGATTTAACCTAATAATTTGCTTTACTTAAGTGTACGAAAACCCCTGCTCCTTGTGCTACTCCTATAGATATGGAAACATCAGAGATTGATAGTGACTCGATTATTTGAAGGTAAACGCCCATGATCTCTTGCATGCGCTGCGGAACAATGTGCCCATGAGGACCATTTGTGAGAAAGGGGGAGTCTGCCGACCTCATGGCGGTTTCGTCTCTTGATCCCGCAGCTCTTTCGAGTATCTCCATTTTTTGTGATTATTCACTTTACCTCATTTGTGTATCAGTGCCGCCTGTCTGTCATTGCTGTGCCTACGACCCTCGGGGTGTTTGAAAAATTTCTTGTCCACAATCAATAGATGCGGTCGCTTTCGAATTGTTTTTGCTTGCTTCATGGTTGCTTGTGAATACTTACCCTTTTGATCGTCTGCACTCACTTCTTGCTCAATATTGTTGCCGGTTCCATTTTAAATTGTATATGCCTCACGGGAATTATTGGAATATTGCCATATTCGACAAAAAAATAATAAATCATGAACAATGAATAAAGAAGTATAGTTAGCATGGCTTGACTGGCAGATAGGTGGACAGCAATTGCAAGTTCAGACCTCTAAAGAAGCGAAGAATGAAAATATATGCAAAAAAAAGAAAACGAAATTACGAGGGGTGGAACCGCTCCAATGCTCATCCTTCCCGCCTCCCTTCCTCGCCTCTCATCCACCTCTCATATATCAGAGAAAGAGTTTGTGTAAAATTTGTACATATTGTCTCTACCTTCAAATAATCTACCAATGAAAAATCACCATTCTTTGCGAGAAAAAAATTCCGAAAGCAGTGGCCCATATTTTTTTTATATCGCTCTTATTTTCCCTCGCTATGGAGAACTTTGCAAGAACATTCTGTTGTATACTTCCGAAAACGAACAAGACGAATGTTTGACAATTTTATTGCAAATGGAACTCAAATGTCAGCGAATGGCATTCTATGTGTTCTGAAAGTTGTTTATGCCATCAAGCTATGATTTTCATTTGTTTGTGACCCAGTGCAAGGTTAAAAGCATAGCACTTTTGTTTTTGCTTGGCATCTTTCACATAGCTTAGCTTATTGCGTCAAAAACCGGTCGGGTACTTGCAGGGGAAAGCGCTGAATGTTTCAGACATCAACGTAACAACAATCTGTTGTGTATAAAACAATGCGTCAATCATTGTGCAGAGGCATAATTGAACTTTGCTTGCTAGGTAGAGCACCCTTTTTTTGCAGTGAAAAATATTACCCTTCCCCCAAAATTTGCGAAATTTTCGAATGTGGTCAGCAGCTATTAAAACATTCTTCTTGCTTGTAAATTTGATAGCTAAATAAATGCTTGTTGATATGACAAGTGAATGAATACTTTTGTTGATCTCAAAAATCAAATTTCGAAATTATGATTCTTCTTGGGTCGTGCTCGAGCCGTATTAGGTTACGACGGCAAAAAATCATGCCATTCCCAGCGGGTACCCCACCCCGAAAACTTTGGGTGGGGGGGGGGGAGGGGGATCAGAATTTTTCCAAAGGAATGGGTGCGCCACAGCCACAGCCTCCGAAAATTTTTTGAGATGCCCTAAAAAGTTTTCGAGCTTATGAGTTCTGCATTTAAACCAAAAACGGTGCATAGAAGGAATTTCCCAAGAATGTATCAGGGTTATTACGAAAGTTAGAAAATTTTCAAGATTATTCAGATTATTTACGAATGAAAGCAAGTCTCTTGTACAATTTTTTGATTCATGTAGGCCAGATACAAAAATTTATGTCCCGTCCCTCATTGACCCCCACTACTGGCTCCTTTAACTACAAAAAATTTGTCTTTTCCTTCCCCAATCGAAAAGTCTTTGCAACAACCACTGCTTCGTTGCACTTGATGAAGAGTTTTGATTTTTTCAAAATCTTAAAGTCCATCAAATAACATATAAAGCACATTTATCAGCACATTTGTAATTGTTGGCAGATAAAGTATGCACCCTTGCCAGCTTGGAGATCGTTGTATATCAGCACCAAATTGTTCCGTGCGATTCTGTGACATTGCATACATGCCGGTCCTGCCAAGTTCTGGTCACATTCGTAATACAGCTTATCCAGCAGTTGTTGAGGTGTCACATTGGTGAAATTGTAGTTGAAATCACCTCGGACGTCGTTTAGAATTACCTAAATGCAGATGTGAGCAGACAAGATTGTTATATCATTGAAAATATGCGTGTAGATGTGGTTATTTCAAAATCTAGTAGAGAAAAAACGCATACAGTACCGCCAAGAAGTATGCAGCTACTCCTGGAAGAAGCTTCGGCTCACTCCGTTCTTCATAAACAAAATCAAGAATCAACTTCACAATTCGTTTCAGTACCTTCCAAACGCATTGGACTTAAGAAAACAATATAACCACCGAAATGAGGTTGGTTGAAGCACGCACCAGGGCCCGGCACGAGTCGGTTCCTAGGGTTTCTGAAAACGAAGTCTACCCTGACTTTCAGAAAATTTACGAAGTCCCCTTTGACTCACCTACTTCAAAGAAGATAAAAACGAGAGAGGTTTATTAATCTGAAAGAAAAAAAAATGTGAAATAAGTGTGAAAACCCAAATTGGAGCTGAATACTACGCATGCGCAAGGGTTTGGCATTGGAGCGCGATATTTTACAAGGCAATAAATGAAAAAATTAAGGCAAAAAACAAAGGAAAGGCAATGATATGAAAATGTCTTCATGCTTAGGGATAGATTTTTGGCCGGGGAAACCGTCCATGATAGAAAAATTCGAAACTTATGTGAATTGACAGAAATATATGCTTCAGACGATCTCAGATCGTCTGGTGGCCGTCTGGAGACGATCTAAATTTGGAAAAGGCATTCCTTCACATATGTTTCCAATACTTTTTACATAATTCTTCCTTAAATAATATTCTATGCTCACAGTCCAATTTTGGCGTCAAACGGTTCTGTGTGCGCTGTAAACAAGCAATTTGTTTATTTTAGCCTTGCTTTCAAATCGCGCGCACTTTTCGCCATACACGATAGAGCATGTCAATCGTGTGGTAACCTGTCCGAGAAGCTTGTGTTCGACTAAATGGCGCTTATTCTTGTTGTTCGGCACCAAAAACGATATCTTTTTTGCTTTTTGCTCTGAAAACGAAGTCCAGCCTGCTTCCAGACGATCTGTGCCGGGCCCTGGCACGCACCCATTGACGAACACTTTATGACAGCTTTCAGTACTTGAGCTGCTGACACCCTTGAGTTCTAGGATATACCCCACAGTCAGCATTTCCTAACCAAAAAACCCAAGCACTGACCGATGATAATAAATAGTAGCCAGACAGTAAAAGGAAACAGAGCATGATGAGTCCATTAGGTAAGCGTAAGGTGCACATTATTGGCCTTTGAAAACCAAATTTCTGCACGAAAGGCTCTGGAAGCATCGTTCATTCTTGTACGTAATCCAAAAATGAACAGTAAGAGCGAACAGTTATCTATAACTGCTGATCTCATGCCGTATCTTCCGTTTTGCGAGCTGTAGATTGTCTGTAGATATACAAGCAGTTCGGTTCCATGCTCATTGCTCATTTGTTTGTCACCACAGTCGAACGAGCTCGTCTAAAGCGGTTGCACACTGCAGTAACGGTAGTACACTGGTGAGTACGAGTCAACCGCTAGATATGCTTTCTCTACACTAGACGAATTTACGAGTGAGAAGAGGTGTTTGGCGGCCAAGAGCGAACATCATTGTGACTGACTCTTTTCAGGCCTCTGATGACGGCGTGTGGCCGAAACGTAAGGCAATAAAGTTACTACCATAACAAACCTGTACGGCACAGAAAGATAAAGAAACTGTTTATAACACGCCCAGGTTTCAAGATCGAAGGGCTTACAACATAACGTCCATATTCAGTTATTGTCCAATATGCCTGCTGAGTGTGCCGTAAAAGCTTTCGGGGACACTAAATGAAGCCCAGCCCCAAGAACAAACTGGATTTTGCAAAGTCAGCTTCGTGGACGAACACATTTAAACGGTTTCGAAGGACAAGAAGTATGCCGGAAGTACCCGCCTTTCTCTCGTCCTAACCTCGTCGACTACGAGAAAGCCTTTGACAACATCGAAAACTAACGCCATCCTGTCATTGTGTTTTGATGAAGAAGGCTACAAGAACTATACAAGGACGATTCAGCATGTTCTCTCTGACCAACACAGTTGGAATTGGTCCGACAAGGCGACACAATCTCGCGAAAGTTCTTCATCCCGGCCTTGCATAGGTGATGAGGCAACGCGACGAGAGAGATATACGAGTGACAAAAAGATTTTCCTAACCTTCAACGGACAATATCGTTCTCTTTTCAAGCAGTATCACTAAAGCAGGATGATGCTGAAGGAACTAAATGAAGTAGAGGCTGGACTGCGAAAAAATTGGAGGAAGATTAGTTCATGAAGAACGCTCTTCGCATAAATGCGTGAATGGTATTGGGAGGCACCTCTGTCACGGAGAAACCTTCATACATGTGTTTTGGGCGTTCATTGAACATGGAGAACGAACGACAGGAGAAAGAAGAGCAGCCGGGACCGTCCGCCTTCGGTTTTCTGAAGGAAGCTACCGGCTAGGAATGAAGAACCCAAAGCTTCGAATCGACTTGTTTGACTCGACCGTTTTCCCAGCACTCTGCTACTCAGCTGAGTTCTAGGCCGACACTGTAGCCACGTCGAAACCTTTAGGGACCATCCACAGAGCACTTGAACGCAGTCTTTTGAAGATAAGCCGTCACAAGCAACACTTGTCGAACTTTGCAGTACGGATATGTGAAGAATGTTCCATCTTCGTGACCCGGCGGAAACGTTGTGAAAGCGAAGCATCGATGGGCCGGACGGACTAGAGAAGAACAAGCGACATATGAACATTGAGAAGATCAGGGTTGATTACTCGTGAAGCAAAACGTCCCTGAAGAAGACCAACGAAATGAGCAGACGTGTTTGTGAAAGATTAGAGATGGCCAGCATGGCCGCGTCTTCATCAAGTGCGATAATCGTTTTACTGAGAAGTCAGCTGGATACGGACGATAAGTAAGAAAATCGTGAGTGTCTGAAGCGAGAGGACAGCGACAAATGGAATTTATGCTGGGATCAGAATTTTCACTTCGATATACTTTAAACAGCGAAAACTTTGATCTGAAGTAGCAGAAACTGCAAAAACGGCTAGTATGAAAGTCTCAATGAAAAACACATGAAGAAAATCATGCCTCACACATATGACAGTAAGGTCCATCGAGATGTGCTTTTTGTACAGCTAGAGATCCAGCAAATAGTAGAAGTAGTATGGGTAGGAAAATCGTTTCCATTACTGCAAGTTCTTGGCTGTAGTCCAAGTGAATCTGAACATGAACATTATCGACTTCATTCAGTGTAACCGAGTTTGCACTTACAATAATTCTAAAAAAATCAGTCTAAACATAGACAAAACCTTAAAAAACAAGGAGCGTAGCCAACAAAATTTGTTTTAGATAGCCATAGATGATAAATGCATAATGCTGATTGCAAGGTTGAAGCGGCAGCCAAAAGGAATTCATAAGAACTTGAGAGCAAAGTACTGAGTCATGGAAATAGAAAGGGTGTGACCGGTAAGAAAGCGTATGCCACGGAATTTTAGAGCATCATGCGTGTTTATAGCTGATAACGCTAACACAATTACGTCGGCCGGAGATAGTCTTGTTGCTCACCTGCGAAGACTCCCCCCTCCCTAAAATTCAGGCCCTGTTATTGTGTGCAAAAAAAATGTAATGTCGCCTCTGATGTGACACACTCAGCGTAATTCTGGAAGATACGCATTTAAGATTCTTAGCCTTATTTTTTTATTTTATTTGTTGTACAAAAAGTGCGCCCATGACTGGTCAAAGTCTAGACAACAGCCAAGAGGAAGTAAATAAAAATTAAACTCAGCATAGAAAAATACAAGCATTGCTGAAAAAAGCAGTCACTGGGTTCAAACCGCTATCAATTCAAAAAGTAAAGGAACTATGCTTTCTTAACTGCACCTTTTTTGTCTAGAAGATGTAGAAGAAAATCATACATTTGCTCAAAGTGATCCACCGTCTGAATTAGGAATCGTGTCCCCCCTCTCCCCCCAAATATTTTCCTTTTGTAGAAGCATTTTCGTGTCACCTGCCTCTTGGGCTAGACCATTTGCTCGCTTCGCTTTGCTAAAGATAAGGAAATAACGTCATGTCAGGCAGTGGCACATTCCAGATCAGTAGAGTTCAGTTCTGCCAAACTTCGCAGAACTTCCCGGAAGGCATAGTAGGAAAATCTTTATTTACAGACATATAGGCACCATACTACAATAATTGATATTTATAACGAAATTAGTGAATTTAACAGGATTCACAATCTTTACAAACTTCTAAAGCCTCTTTTTGTTCTCGAAGGTCTCGAAATAACATCAAAGGGTGATAGCTGACTAAATATTCACATTCTGCAGCCATCATGGCCGACTTTATGGCGCAGCGAGGACATTCTTCGCGGAAGTACCGCAGGAGTTCCAGATCCGTGGCGTTGACTATAGTCGGTCCAAATGAGTCTTGGGCATTGCCTACGATGGTCTGAAAGAAAAAAAATAATAAAAGGTGGGGTAAATGGACCATTTTTTGTGGAAGTTAGCTTACCACACAAAAACTGCACATCATTGGGTTCTGCTGGGCTATTGCTATACCCAAAATAGTAAGTACTACCAAAATACTGAGCGATTGCATAGCTGCGGTAGAAACTCTCAACCATCACCTTTTATTGCGCAAAATTCATGGGACAATCAACAAGCCCCAACTTTGATAAGGTCACCCAATTCTTTGCCCAAACAATTCTCCAGACATTCTCCCAACAAAGGTTAATCACTAGCTGACACCTGAGAATAAACACTTCTCTGCATGGGAAATGACGTACTAATAGCGAAGGATATGGGATTTTCTCATGACATTTAGTTTCATGTGAAGGAAATGAGAATATATAGTTAATTTACAGAATTTGTGCTAAAAATTGCACTATCACCATGATTGAAAACGATTTGCGGTGCAATTATAATGATGGTTTGAATTTCCCAAGTGTTTCCTTTATAAGAGTAGTTGAGAGTAAATTACGCTTACGTGCAAGTCAATAAAAAAGTGGTAACAGTAGCAGTATTTTACGTTTTACAAACTTCAACTCTAACTTCTATGAATTTTTCAGACTTGTCAAATTAACTAGTGATTTCGCCTCGAGATCACGGAACCAGTAAGAAATTCTTATAATCGTCCTAAGAATCTTGTTATTGTCCGTGCCAGCGTGGTTCCAGCGATGTTCCAGCGCCGTGTCAATTTTTACCGAAGACGTGCTAAATCGATCGATCGATCTAGCCGACATAGTTAGCATGAGGCTGGCACGACTATGGAACGGTGCTAGCACGATGCCGGGTCTAGACGTCTTTTGTACCAGCAATATGCGGTTTTGCGGCATGGAATCTTTTTTGCATACTTTTTGTTTATATATTCCCGATTAATCGATGCGCAGACTGGACGCTGTTGCGTCCGACCAAGATGGTTCGTGCATGGTAGAGACAGCAGACGGCAAGAGGGCCGAAAGAGCGCTCGATTAGCGAGCTGACAGCGTCCATAGACGCCCTGTCTTTGCGTGTGATGAATCGCCTATACTTATTGTTAGAGGCGTCGGAACCGCGACGCCGCAGCGCGCGCATGCCTGCGTCCGTGAATTGATTGTGCATCGATTCGATGATTTAGCGAATTATGCTTCATAGCCATAGAGGAGCTACGAAGGAGAGCTAATTCGTACGTAAAGGTCTCAATAATTACTCTCACTGTAATAAAGAAATGCTATTGGTGAAACGTTCAAATAGTGCAAGTTGAAGCCAACTTTTTATATGATATCTTGGCGACATGAAACTTCACCTGAGTCTTATCTTTTCAATAAAAAGCAGAGGTTCTTCCACATTTTGAAGTTCTCTAATTCTTCCCACAATTTAGGGGATACCAATATTACAGGCTATATCTGTTTATTTGTTATTCATACCTGACACCAAGAAGCCCTCTGTCTAGCCAGATTGCCAGGAAGTTTGTTTATATGAGCTCATCATATTGGGAACGATGCAGTACACGCTGGCACTCCAAAGGGTAAACACACGCTGACGACCCTATATTAGCTAAGATTTCTAGCCAATTTTGAGCATTTTCAAATGTTCAGCGTTATTTTGACATTAGCAGCATTGGTGCTGTACAGCTCTACACAAACGCAAAACTACGACATGGAATGCCTGTGGTGTGAGGTGAGTTTATTTTTCTGGAAATAAGTTATCAAATTCTCTGAAGGCGAATTTCTTTCAGAATGTGATATACAATGCTCGTAATTTCTTCGGTGATAACATTGTCAACACCACCAATCTTCAATTCGAAGAGTATTTCGACCGGTCGTGCCGCCTGGACGCCAGAAAATCAGCACTTTATGGAGCCATCTGCTACGATATGTCTAAAAATCATCGGGAAACACTTTTCCCTGACTTGAGGAAGAATATCAGCGTCATCGATACTTGCCAACATTGTGGTTTATGTATCAGTGTTTAACTATGCGAAATGATGCCCAGGTGAGTCACTGTGTGACTCACTCTGCCCCAGAAAACGACATAATATGGAGAATGGTTATTCAAAAAGGAAAACTCGTTCAAAAATTGTTCGATTGATGCGCTGTTCTTTGATATTTATTGTTAAATCTACCCTACTACGAAAATAAACCCTGAAAACCTTATCTTCCGTGCTTCGCTTCTTATACAATTAATCCGCAGACTGTAACCTACAGGCTGTCTCATTTTGAGTGTCAAAGCTGGTCCCGTCCGGCCGCCTCGCTCGGCTTTGCGCATGTTTGCGAATTTTCTACGCAGGCGTGGGAAAGTGCCCTGATGATACGACCGCGGACGCGGCGCAATATGCGGGCGGGCGGCCACGGCGACCCGGGTAGAGGACTATATGTCGCCGAAAAAGGGCGGTCCCCGGGGTCATTTGCGACAAATACGCACCCTTGTACATGCGCGGACAAGCGTTCCTGCAGGGAATCCGCGCGGGACTCTTCCAAACTCGGCGACATATAGTCCTCCACCCCGGCGACCCAAGCTACAGAAGCTTTGGCTCTCATTATGAGACAGCCTGTATTTGCAGTTGAGTTATCTGCACCTTATATGTGCTGCACACCAGACGCGATATCTCACGACTAATGCAGACTACTGTTTTCCACTTTTTACAAATTATGCTGGATACAAACAGGTGTAAGTAGGAATTTTGTCCCTTGAAAGCTTTCACTAACTTCACAATATGGAAGTCGTAGGATGTGGTGCGATATTTGCAAACACACGGCTTGTAAATGCTTCAACAGGGTAGGTGCCAGACTTACTCGGTTCCAACCGATCATCCGATTTACACATTCGCTATTGGTCAGGTGATCGAATACCAATAGCCATTGGGTGAACCGGTTGACGGGATAAGTCTGGCGCCTACCTAAGTGGAAATCTTCTTTGTAAGTGCTACTACGCTCATTTGCTTCTTCTCTCTAAAACACAGACAAACAATGCACATATTTTTAATTCTGCGTGACTGTCATGAACATGGTGGTTCATAGGCTGCGTTTCTTGCCCCTGTGCCAGCGCTGTGCCGGCTCCCACTTGGAGCGCGCCATATCAATCGATTGATGCGCTAGCACGGCGCTAGCACAGGCAACTCTGTACGCAGCCTTACTGCACGTATTCCACAGAGGAATATCGAAGGAAGACTAGCGGGCAGCTTTCGCACAGCGGCATCGTGTATTCTACGTTCGCCCTACCTTAAGAATTGGTTATGGATGGTATTTTTGAGTGAAGTCATTGCAAACTTGCCATATACTATAATGTTTCGGGTTTCCCTTTCGCTCAACAAGGTGATTTTGCTGTTTCGAAAAGCAGCCACCATTGTTCTGACTGATTCAAAACCTGTTCTAAAGATGAATAACGTTTTCAGACATTTGAAAAATGAAGGTGTTGTTAGCGCTCTTTTCGATTTCGGTGAACTTTCGAGGAGTGATGGTTCCCTAGAGAATTCGATGCACGATCCAAACTGTCATCGATGCACGCACGATGATAGGAACCACCTTCAGCACATTTGCGACATTGGCAAACACAAACAGCGTAAACAAAAAGCGTCCGTTTTGTATCCCCATGTGTTGTGTGTAACGCACCAACTCCAGTATTTCAAAAACAGCGCGTCGCTTCAAGACTTCGACTTGTTCCTGTCTTTCGAACGATGTGCCTTCTGCAAAGTCAAGAACAGTCTTGAACAAGAAGTCAAGAACCGAGGGTCTAACGACTCCATAAAAAATGCAATGGAAAAGAGCAGTGGTTTACGACGTCTGGTCCTGACACGCGTCAGGATCTGTTGGCGCTTCGTTGCAAAAAAATCAGCGTCCGTCTCTGACATTCGGTGCGTGCGGCGCGCGCTTGTTTTTGGCCATCCGTGCTGCGCGCGCGCATAAATCTGTGGGCGTGGCCTTATACCTCGCGGCGCGCGTGCCTTGTTACCGAACGTACGGCCCGCGTGCCTATTTACCGTGCGGGCGGCGCGCCCTAATCCTAACCGTGCGGCGCGCGCGCACTCAAAAACGCATAATTGCCTAGTACCTTAGGGGAGACGCTTCTTTTCGCGCCGAAATGGGCAGATTGGGAGAATCCTTGTGGGTATCTTTCGATCCTCTTCATTTTAGTCATGCTATTATACCAGTATGTGTTCTTTTCCTGTTCATCTTCAACATACAGACGCGAAAATAATTTAAAATTCTTTAATTATTTCTAAGACGTTTTTTTTGGGATTGTAGGGTTTTACACTATTCTCTATTCACTCTTTAGCATCTTTGGAGTAATCTAGTTTAGATTAATAGTTTGTTTACACTAGTGAATATTTGAATTTCCAAGTGACGCCGATATTCGCGCTCAAATTATAGCTCCCAAATCTAACACAAATCGACGCTGTTTCTTCGTTTTAACCCTTCTAACCTTCTTCCAAGCCTTTCTTCCTTGCTGATGAGTTCCGGGAAAGGCTCGAATTTCATTTTGTTTTCCGTCCAAGGGCAGGAACGAAACGGAATTTGATTTTTTAAGGAATTGAAAAAAAAGGAACAACGGAATTTGATTTTTTTTTTTTTTAAGAAGGGAGTTCCACGAAGAAAGGACAGAACAACGGCCAGCCTCACCCCCTCTACCATCCACGCTACATGACTGTATCTCTGCTGGCGTATTGCATGTGGACACCGCTGCGAAACTGATCCTGAGTAAAATGCGACGTGAAGAATTTAATGAAGCCGCGTACTATGTAAGTTCACAAAACGCTCCTTCTGTAATAACCTAACCGATTATTTTGTAGGAATTTGTTCAATCAGATGTGGCGGCGAGAGCAACAACAACATATGGCAGTTTGAACCGCCCCTTGGGGCGTGATTTGGATCTTCTATGGGGAATCGCGAACAGAATCATAGTAAGATAACCACCCGATAGTTCCTTACCTACCATAAAATGTTGACATTTCAGGCGGAAATTGCACGAGCAATGGCCACAAAAAGCATTCGATGTTTTGACACGGCGGAAAGACCCTTACCAGTTGTGGCAACTACGCCTTCGGTAACAAATTGCACAAGAATGTGGAGGATCGACGCCGAACCACCGTTTTCGAAGGCAAGAGCCTCACGCACATTTGACTTCATTTTAAAGCTCCATTTTCTAGGTAAATCTACTGAAGGAATTGGATGACTGGTCCCCGCGAAAAAAGGATAACGCATATGTGCAGGTCTCGGCCCTGTACCGCCACATACTTCAAAGAGTAAGTCAAAAACACATAAAATCTTCAAAAATAAACTTCAACATCATATTTAGATTTGTAACCCACCAGAACGCATTCGAGAATACTCCTTGCGAATCAACACGTTGAAAGGGAGAGACTTGAAGTTGAAGAGCCTTCCACGGGGAGTAACGGACATCCTGATAGGTAAAATATCAATCAATTCTTGTTACTCCAAAAGAAAAGTGCTATTCAGAAATGGTCGAGGACATGTTAGGATACGGACATGAAGAGTTGGAGCAGTTTCGTCAAACAGACCTACAAGAATCGCCGTGGTATCAAAACCTGGGAAGTACTGAGCAGGAAAGAAAGCAGAATCTTGCTGATTTAAAAGAAGAAAAGAAGAACTGGAGACCGCAATTATTCAAGTCGCTGCAATTAGCACTGTGAGTTGTTTTTAGTAAGCACGTATTCCTAAATCACTGTAAATCTTTCAGGCGCGACGTGCGGTCATACAGTTATGAAGCTGGACGATGGATTGCTAATCCTGTAAGTGGCTATCAGATCTTTCAAAAGATAGACGATGATGTTTGAACTTCAGCGGAAACGTGGAGCTCCCGGAGAAGTGGATGAAAACACAGTGCCTTGTTCACAGTGATTCAGGAAGCGACGTTATTATTTGTTAATTCTATTCCTTGTTACATTGATATACTATGATGTGATTCATCTGTGATATGATATCTTTCATGTTATATATAATATATATTGATCTCATATATTACGTGGTTGAAATACCGGTATGTTATTTGAATATTTAGTCATCGCGTGTTTCTGTGAATACTACTTGAATCTGTCAACAATTGCTTGTTGAAACTGCTATTCTCTATTACTGATACTACCGCACTAATTGTAAATATCGTTAGAAGTTTGTGAGATTTTATTGTATTGCTCCCTACCGTGTTATTATTTCATTCATGTGAAAATGTTAAGTGTAAACTCTCCTTACTGTAAACTTTCTTTACATAAAATCTCAAAAAAGTGCCTACGAGGATGAAAAATCTCAAAAAAATGCATACGAGGATGAAATAGGGGTCTGATCTTATCAGTGATAAAAAGTGATAAAAATGATAAAATTTGATGTCTGATCCTATCAGTGATTAAAAAGTGATAAAAATGATAAAATTTGATGTAAAAATGATAAAATTTGATGTCTGATAAGATCAGTGATAAAAAGTGATAAAAATGATGAAATCTGATATCAGATATGATAATCCAGAAGCGCGCCACCCGCGTGCAATCAATGATAACCACGAGAAAAACCGTGCGGCCCGCGCTCGTTCCTCCAGTGGCGCGCGCGCATTCATCGTACGGCGCGCGCGCATTCATCGTACGGCCCGCGCGCACGGAGCGTTCGGCCCCCGCGCACGGAGCGTTCGGCCCCCGCGCACGGAGCGTTCGGCCCCCTCGCACTACAAGGCGCCGCACGGGGAGCACGCGCGCGCCGCACGGACCGAATGTCAGAGGTGCTCGTCCGGTTTTTTGAGTTTTTCGCAATTCTTGCTATTTCATTCGCATGGTTACTGTTTTCGGATCTATTTAGATCAAATCTGACTGCATTAAATATTGATATTTGGGTTTTGAAAGCTGTGTCGGGTTTTCATTGTTTGCTTTTTCGTAGCTATCACTTTCGGTTCCTGTAAGTTCATTTCATTTCATTTTATTTATTGCGTGGGAAAGGTACCATGTCAGACATAATACAAATGAATCAAAAACACAAAAGAATGCATGTAATTTAAGGAAATGTAAAAAAACAACAACATGGGACCCGTGCTTCCTGTTCTCTTCAAGCTCATGTAGATAGTTTGAGTTTTATTCAGTTTTATGTGCCGTAACAGGTTGATATAGATGATATACTATTTATTGCCTGACGTTTCGGCTTTACGCCGTCTTCAGAGGCTGAAGAGTTAAGTTTGAATTTTTTTTCGCTTTTGGCATTTGAAAGACGGGAGGGTTTATTTTATGCATTTTTGAGTTTACTAGAGCTGAATCTTGTGTTGAGCTAAGTTTTCGTTTCGATTAGAACTGATTACCAGGTTTGTAACTGGAAACAGTTCAACTGGAATTGCCTTGATGGGTACGGTCTTTGTAACTCTGTAACAACGTGTAAGCGAATGTTCTTCCATTTCTTGCAGGAAATACTGAATAGAATAGATTTTTCTTGAAGACGTTGATCGTCAACTATGACGCTATAATGGTACCAAAAACTGATTAATTTGATTTTACAAAGTGAGCAAGTGTATACCGTTTACGTTTTTTACAGTGTAAACTGATTACTGCATATGTTTGATTGCCAATCCACATTGAACGCTAATAAGGTTTATTGAACATTTCCTTCTGTACATATTACATGAAAAGATGGGAGCAATGAGAATACTTTTATTCACACATTTACAGTAACGTTTTTAGAATCCTTTGGAACATTTTTCACATTTCGCCAACAAACATATCACGTATATGAATAAAACGCCTGCCTGACGTCATTGGATATTTGACGTAACTCTATTAACGAGTCTATTTTGTTCTTGTTTTCTGAATTGTGCAAAGCGAGAGATTTATATTTCACTGTTTTAAATTCTCATTACTTTCTGACTCTAGTCTTACAATCAGCTAGTTCCATTTTTGAATTTATTCAGCTTCAATTTACATAGAAATCATGCTAGATTTTCTGCCACCAATCGCTCAGCTTTGCAGCAATTGGAGACTGAACATTCCTAAAAGCTATTGTGAACCTTCTCCTACATTTCTACGCTTTCTTTCCCCATACAAAATAATGTTTGTATGAGTTTGAATAGCAACTAGTCTGCGTTGTATCAATAGTCGATCGATCATCGCTGTACAATGCAGTTTCCCCTTTTTTTTCTGGAGAGGTGCATCGGCGCAGTTGCTCACCTGTGAAACGCAATGTACGAATTTACTGCATTTTATTATTCACCCCTCCACCGCCGCCCTCACCTTCTCCCAGTAGTCGAATACCGGCAAAAGATAAGGCCTATGGAAAGGTGCCAACGGTTTCAGTTTCTTTTATTACTTCTTCGTACCTATCGATCGTCGCCTTTGTGGTGATAATATCGCAGTGTGTCGATATTTGCACATTCTGCACGTCCATACTATTTACTTTTGCTTTTTGTCAAGTCTCCAGCCACGTCGGCAAAGCCGTCGAAAACGGGAACTAGGTGTGCACTCGGTCGATTTTCAGCGAATGGCCGTTGATTTGCTTATCAGCCTGAGCGATATCGACCTTTTTCAATTCTTGCGCCTTGTTTCGTACGAGGTTTGGCTTTTCAAAAAGTTTTTTATTTTTGTTTATTTATTTGTACGACAGTTTTCATATTACATTTATGAAGAAGCCAAATATAGTGTTAGTTTTCACTTTATTTATGCAGCCAAAATGTAGTTAGTCTCCAAGCGAACCGACTAGTTTGTGCTGTTTGCAATTTAGAATCATAATCTTGTAATCTGGAATTCCGACTTATAGCTGACTCAAAATAGAGCCGCCCCTATTCTGTTATAGCAGCAGTGTTTGTCTCCTGCGACGCAAATCTTGCTACTAAAAGTGCTTCTTCTTGTTCTTCAACTTCGACGGCATCCATCCCTCCTCGCTTAGCCTGATTGATTTCGCCGCATTCCAGCACCGTTTTTCGCGTAATATCGACAGTCGGGCCTGATGGCGTTTGCGACTTGTCGTCCATCCGCTGTACTGTGTACCTCCGCACAATTATACTGAAAAGTTTGAATACAGATTAGTTTCTAGTTTTCTGACTGCGCTGATCGTGGCACCATTGATTCGACTTTGTTCCTTTGCAATCTTCGAAACTGTGTCTGTTTGGTGATTTGTTCTTTTCAAACTTTTATTTCGTTTTCTCAAGTACTTCCGGTTGCGTTTCCGAACGCGTTAGTTATGGAGTACTTTTATGAGCCACTTTTGATGGGATCAGTACCAGCACTCTGAGTAATGTGATTTGCAAGACGAATGTTTTGCCTGACTCTGCATATAAAATATCCATTTTCTGGTGTCTATCATCTGAAAGCATGTGTCCATCCGCAATGTTTTATGTTGACTTTGTAAATCGATTCAGCGTTCTCAGAGGGAGCAATGCTCGTTGTGATCAGAAAAGGATTTTTGAGTTTTTATGTTTTTAGCGTTTTCGTCATAGTGTAGAGGCATACTTTCGAAAGTTAGGTTCTCTTTTACCCTAGTTTTGGTTGGGCACCGAAGTCATTAACGCATGTTACTGATTATCGATCAGTCGAATGCCTTGTTTTGTTCATTTATTACATTTTACGTGAATGCCCTACCACTATCACTCAGTAGAGGAGAGGTATTCGTTGCGTATGTTGCTTTTTTGATGATAGTTTCCTGGCTAGTTATTTGTGAAAAATGATTTTTAAAACATTCCCATTGCGACACCCTAATCAAGTAGGAAAAGAAGTGGGGGGCGGGGGAGGAGAGAAGAGGTGCGAAAGGTCGCATAACGCTGCCCTCGCGCCAACTCTTCACTGACGTTGCAAGGCTTTGATAAGTATAATCTGATTTATCCTTGCATGAGGAATTACCAGTGCACGTAGTCGTGAAACGCATGCCGCGTTTCATAACTGTAACCCAAAAGGACCCATAATCCGGTTATGAAAAGTCGGAAGCAGTTGCTTTATGATGTATAGGATAGCTCACATGTGCGACGAAAGTTTATTGCTGCGATGTGATCGTAGCATGCAAACGATCTTGGAATACCTGTCATTCTCTGTAATTATATGACAACTTTTATATCTGAAAGTATATACACAGTTTTATGAAAAAACGACCAGTGAACGATTAAGCCACTGTTCATTCTTTCTATTCGCAACATGTCTTGTGAAATCTACCTCTTATACGAGCTAAAGTCATTTCAGTCTAATTTTTGCGGAAAGGTAGGTGCCAGAGTAAGCGAATATTTTGTTCAGGTTGGGGTCCCGCGCAGAATTGACGTCTCTCACCATGCTTGGCGTCAATCCAAGTGACGTCAATTCTGCGCGGGACCCCAACTTGAACGAAATATTCGCTTACTCTGGCACCTACCAAAGATCGAAGAAGATAGGTACAGTCGAGTAGATTTTCCGCTTAATATGGTGTGCTTGCACAGAAGGTGAAATGCGGTAAAGTTTGCGCGTGAGGAATTAGCTTCGACTGTGACGCCGGCCAGTTGCGCACGCAAAATGCCGGCAGTGCTGGCGCAGCTACCTGTTTACGCGCAAAGTTTACCGCATTTCATAAGCTGTGCAAGCACTTTCTATTAAGCGGAAAATCTACTCGACTCTAACTAGGAAGATCGCGGCACTCCATTGCCGATTTTCGAGTGATGCAGCAAAGTATGGTTTGGAATTTTTGGGATGAAAGGCGAGTCTGGCATGAAACGTTGTGCTCAACATTGCCGTTTCTTGCTGAGACCCAAGCTTGAATTATCAATACAAGCGGTCTCCTTCGATTTCTTAGAAAGTCATTTTCAAAGGTGGCTTGTTTGCCCCTTTTTAATATAACAACCAGTTTTATATAATAGATGAGACAACATCTTGTTAAAAAAAGTTGTGGTTCGAAGAGGTGCTGAAAGACTTACTCCATCCTATTTTTTGGAAACGATTTCTCTTTTTTTTGGTGTCATATAGTTATGAAACGCGTTATGTGATCGGTATTCGTGCAAACTGAACTTTTCGGAATAATGAAATGGTTAAGAAGAACCTGTTCTTTTTTTTTCGTTTACTTATGATCTTTGGACTTTGCACTTTTGATTCATGCACTTCCTTCATCTTATATTCTTTCGTATTTTGAACCTCATCTTCTTTGCTAATTTTGAAGATTCCTTTGGAAGTGCTGACGGAGACACCAAGGAGGGCAATATTGGGTATAGTAGCCCTAAACGAGATAATGGAAAACACGCATGAAAAAGCATTGAAATTCTTTTTTTTTCTAGTCTTTATCAGACAGTTTTTACTACTGAAAACTCAAAATCTGTTTTTGTAAGCGGTGCCCTTGATTTGACTGGATAGTTGAGCAGGAAACATCTCGACACTTGCATTAAATATTCGTTATTCCTAGTTCTCTTAATTTACTAAAACAAACGATTTCTCAGCAGTCATGCAACACATCTGTTGCTGTCTTGGATTCTTGCTCTTTTTTGTCGCTCGCTGAAATAGAAAACACATCCGTTGTTGTCGTCGTAATGCAGACATGTCCCGTAGGGGCGGAAGAGTAGTCGCCTGTGAGGCGAAATGATGCGATTTTCATGGTTAAGTGATGGCACCCTAAAAAAAGTTAGAGTAGTATTTGCCATCACTTGAAATGTAAATACTGGAGCTTTTTCAAAGTACAATTTGAAGAGCTGAGGTTTTATGTATTCTCAGATGTTTTCTTTATCTTCCTAGCAATATCATCGTTTGATGATGTCACTAATTCCGGCACCGTGGCCTTTTCTCATGCATTTAGAATGCTATTTCTCACTCTATCGCTTGGCGTTGTCGAGTTTTTCGAGTCAATTTCTTGCTTATCTGTTGCTTGTTACGGAATTAGATTGTCAACTTTTTAAGTGAATGGACGCTTCACTTTTTACAATTTGTTATCCTTTGCCAAATTTTATTGTGCGCAAATTAGCAAATCAATACGTATGCATGATTTGCCGAAGAAATTGGTGGAAAAGGTCGCTTTCTTTCAGCAAGGACATGTGGTACCTAGTGCGATGCATTCCATCAAGTCTATGTTCATTGTGGTATTGCACAATAAGTGGACATAGTATGGTGCTTGCATAAACCAGGATATTGAAACTTTTGTCCTCTTCGTACTTTTTTGAAGTTTCTGAACGTAGGAAGCTGCTTTTGTTTTCCTTCCAGTTGAATTGAAAGTCACTTAGGGAAAATTTTTTACTTTGACTTTTAGAGTTTCAAATCCCAGATTTCCGAGAACTCAACGTTTTTCTGTACTCGACTTCTTTACTAGTTGCATTCGATTTCATTTGGGTGTCGATTCGTTATCATGAAGTACAATTGCTGACCATCTAATGTAGTGTTAAATATTTGAAAATTGAAATTTGATTTTGATGCGACTTTCGAGAACGATTTGAATTTTGATTTTTCGAATTGTACTTTGACTTTGCGAACTGAATTTTTTCTCAGACTATTTTCAAACTTTCGAAACTCGCATATGACACTTTTATTCAAACAATCGATTATTCGATTTGGTCCGGGTTTATTTTGCCGCCTGTGCATTACATTTCAAGCTTATTGGCATAAATAGATGTTTCGTCACAGACTTTCGTCATGGTGAATACGTCTTTCCAGAGTTTCAGCTTGACTTGATCTGCTACAATGTCGTTATTATGGATTTCAACAAGATTATCTCCAGACACATCAATTTTTTTGTGCCATACAGATTTGCTATGGTGATATCGTATGGCACAGAAAAATTCGAGAGCATGAGCAGTGTCGTGTTCTAGATTAAGCGGGACTTGGAGATTATTTTCATACAGTTCTCGCTCTTTTCGGGTGCAAGGAAAGGATTCGAAGTCGAAATCGGCTTTCCACATGAAATATACACCAGTCTGAAGAGCACCAATTACTGTTTCCAAAATTGTCTTTGCTATCTGCCAAACGCCTCTCGACGCTGAGTTACGAGCGTTTTTTTTTCCAAAGAACTGAACGCGCAACTGGAACAAATTCGTCCAAGATTGCGCAAATGGCCCAGTGTTTATTAAATCGCTCTATGCGTGAATAATCTTTTGTCTAATTATTCGTACTCAACACTTCTTCATGAGTGCTAGAAAGACCATAACTTTTGATTTTAGCTAAATTATGCTATCATTTTTCTCTCCAAACACTCATAACTCAGCATCTAGGGATGCTTGGCAAAAAACAGAGACAGTATTGAAACTAGCGTTTGATGCTCTTTAGATGGGTATGTATTTCATCTGTAAAGCAGGTTTCGACTTTGAGTCCTCCTCTAGTATATCAACAATGGACCTCCTGCTTTCTTCTCCACTAAATAGACAGTGGATCTGACCCGAGAGACGGATGAATAGCCGAGCTGGTTTTTGTTGCAACTCTGACGGAGCTCAAGGCTAAAGAGGCTTTTGCGCGACATACGAACTCTCAACAACGAGTATTTGCCGTGCCACATCGGCGCTCAACGGCGGCGATGATCTGTGATTGCACTGTTGCTCAGTCGTTTAACCTTCTCCGAATGCAAAATCGGCGTTTTGCCGCAATTCGTGTCCTTTTCCGCCCGAGATGTGTCTCGAATGTAAACGGGATGAGTGCGAGTAGGTGTGAAGAGTTGTTTATGTGTGAGTATGCATATATGGTGTGGAGATTGCTGAGAGTCGTCGTCGTCATCGTGTCGTTCGATCGCCCCCATCCTCTCGACCGCGAGCGAGGCCGCTGAGCTCAGCAGCAGCAGCAGCAGCAGCAGCCCGCCTTTCCGCGCTTATTAGAAGAGCACGGAAGCACACACGACACCCATCATCTTCGCCTCTCATCATCGTCATCAACGACACATTGAAAAATGAGGAGCAATTTCCGCAACTGCACTGTCTCTAATGTTCGTTCTCATTTGTTTCCTTGCTCGCCATCCCTCCGAACACCAATCGATTCCCACAGTGTGTGTGTATATTTGACGCGATATCAGGTCGTTTAGTCAACTTTCATTTTTCTCGTCTGTTTATGACAATAGCAAAACAACATGGTTGCCTTGCACATTATTGACACTGAATTAATTGTGAAAGCGCGGAAAGAGGCGCTTGAGATAATGAAGCGCGTGCAATTAGATTTTGCATTTTTTTTCGTATGAAAGGTGAAAAAAGCGCTAAAGTGCTAATCCTATGTCTTCCCCTCATTTTTCTGATGTGGTTTTTAGGGCTGTTTAGATGAATGGTTGGCTGTCGATTCCTATGAGTCAGAGCGGTAAGAGTTCTAATTCTTCTTGGAAATGCTTTTTGATCTCAAGTATAGTACTTTCCTTTTCTTATTTATTGCGAACATGTATTGTATGAATTTTCTTAACTGAATTTTTGACTGGTCTAGAACCTGCTTTGACGATTGCGCCCTCAGAACTGGAGGTATCAATCTTACATTTTGAATTATTCAGTATATGATTATCTTTATGGTTGGCTGGTCCTGTGCTAAATGAAATGACGTATCTTCCTAGACTATCTAACTGTGCAAGTCGCTAATCTTACATTATAAACGTATTATATGGAATACTCATCGTCAGCCTAATAGCTCTTCGCATTTCATGAGAAAAAAGATGTTGCAGATGTTTGTGCATAAGTTATTTTGTCGTCTTTGGTACCGGTTCGTCTTGAAATGCAACATGCTGAAAACAGCGACTTCTTTTGATAATGTGAGCAATGCTTTGCCGTGATTCACTCGACGGCTTATGTTTTCTCCAAGAAAGTGGATTTTACATTTTGTACTGTGGTATGTTCCTCTTTTTCTCCGGATTTTGTCAATACTAGTCAACCGTTCCCACATTCTTTTCCCGTATCATGTCTAAAAATAACTTCAATTTATCTCTTTTGCCAATAACACTCCAATAGTTATACTGTTCATTAACATATCCTTTTCATTTCTTATTCTCTGAGAGCTTATGACTCAGTGATATCATCTTTCAATGTTGCCATTTGTTTCACTGTGTTTGGTTGATACATAGGCAATACTCGTAAAAATCTTTTTTGTGTCTTTGAGTATCTCTGAATTTGCTACTTTCAGCCTCCATGGGTTTTGCGGCTAGCCTCAGTTGTTCTGGCATGTCTCAGCAATATAGATTTATCCTCACTTCGACAAATAGTTCAATATAATTGGAATCTATATCCAAAAATTCGGCTATGAATTCTTCTCGTTGATATTCACGCATAATTCAAGTTCCGTCTGGTCCATTCGTGACTGTTTCTCCTATCGACAGCCTATGAATTTGAAGCACGCAATGAATTTTGTTGTTACCTTGTCATTTCGCGTAATTTACTCCATCGAAACAGATTACCCCCTGCCAAGACTCATGCGTTAGTAATCGCGCTCGAATTGATGTGTGAGAGGTGTCGCCCCAGGAGACACGGCGCACTCACAAAAATCAGTTTAGCGTCATTTGAGGTCATTCCTGAGCAGTTCGAAACTTTATTTCCTTTGTTCTCTGCTTCGACATTTTCTAATCGTATGCGTTTGGATTTACGATGCGTATTGTCGTGTTCTGTTTATCCCTACTGGAGGGTCATAATCCTGATTCATTTAGAAACTTTTCACCGATCCGCCAGTGTTCAATATATCGGTTCACCGATAATCACGGGTTAACGGATTGGTGGTAGCCGTGAGCTGTTGCAACCATCGATTCGATTTTATAGAAAAAAGCTTAGCTTCAAGGTAACATTCCAAACTATTGTTTTTTTTATGTGTATGCTTCGAGGAGCCCATTACCATGTTTTCATATCTCTCTATGTTCGGAATATGTTTCTGCTGAACAATTTAATACCCCGTCATAATAATTATTATGAAATGGGCTGTAGGAAGGTGGATATGGAGTCATTTAGCTTTTTTGTCATCACTGTGGATCTAGACGTTCATAGACTAACATTTAGCAATAACCGTTGCTCATCGAAGCTCTAAAAATCATTTATATGCATTTCTTCGTTCCAGATGTTAGCCGGTTCCTATATCTTTGGCAATTAACGATATCGAAATAGATGGTTTTTACTTTGTAGAAATAGTTCAGCCATGTTTTGATTTTCATTTTATTTTTCAGTCACATATTGTGTGCTTGAAAGAGGCAATTTTTCGCAGTAACATAACTTTTTCAAATGCAAACTCAGTGTCATTAAGAGTTCGGGCAGATGTTACGCATAATTAGTTTGGCGAAACAATCGCGTATTGATTTCGGTTGTGCACATTTCAACGATGAGTTGACAGGCGCATCCACCATATGTTCCTTTTTCAGAGTATGGTAATGGAGGTAGACGAACCAGCAGGTACGTCTATGGATACGTCGGAACCGATAGAGCCGGCCATAGAATGGCGGTTTAGTCAAGTGAAAGGGAACATCGAAGGAGATGACACACATACAGAAGGTATGTTTGTTGTTTTTGTCATCTTATTTCGAAGTTTGTTTTATCATTCCAACTTTATCTGATTTTTCGCTCGTGAATGCTAGTCTTTTGCCAGCTGATGTCATATCGTGTGTCGAATTTTCTCATGATGGTGAATATCTGGCCACAGGAGACAAAGGCGGACGAGTTGTTATTTTCCAGAGGGATCAAAGTGTAGGTGTCTTTTTTCTTGCAGGAGTAAGATGATGTTAGAGATGACACTGGTTTCCTCGTAGAGATGAGATTATAATGCTTCTTGCGGATTAGTGTTGTTCAGCGGTTATCCGAAAGCGATGAGTGGATTAGTAAGCTTATTGATTTACAGCTGCCTGTCCCAATCTTTATGTTTTTGGTGCAGAGAAGGAGGAAAGCTTTTTGTATGAAATTAGTTTTACGTTTTAGACCATATTAAATAGGTCCGGTAACCTTCCAGCAATTCTTTGCCTTTGGATTGAGACATGAAACTTAAGAAAAGTTGAAAGCTATCCCATACTCACATTATTTTGAAACCTATTTTCACGTACTTCTAAAACTTGTATGAATTCGATTTTTGTTTGCCGGCTCTGCATAAATTAACTCTTTTGGAGCTTTTCTGATATCTTTGTACAAGGGGTGCGTACGATGCTCTCAGAAATGCTACTCGTGCTTGCACTTGCTCGAAAAATGCGAACCTGTCCTCTCAGATGTAATTTATGTGACTTGCATGGCGTTGTGGAAGCATGCGCCCACCAACGAATGTATTTGCAGGGCAAATATGTAAACGGTGCTCGATCGCGAGAGTACAATGTGTACTCAACTTTTCAATCGCATGAACCCGAATTCGACTACTTGAAATCGCTTGAAATAGAGGAGAAAATTAACCAAATTAAATGGTTGAAAAAGAAGAACGCAGCAAATTTCATACTCTCGACAAATGGTAGGAGTGACAATTTTTGGATGATGTTTGAGAGCCAGGACTTGTCAGTTTCAGACAAAACTGTAAAGTTATGGAAGATAAGCGAACGCGAACGAAAAGTTGCTGACGATTCATGGAATATTAGGCGTGGACAGTAAGTTGAACATATTTAATTTCACTTCCTGCTTATTTAATCTTTGGTAGCTTGCAGTCTTTATTTTTTCCTTTCTGCTTAGGTGATCATTTTAACATCAGCTTTTTCAAGGCCACTCGATGCCTTATTAGATTTTTTTCAAAATCGTCTTAGTCGGCCAGCCCAGAATTTCCAGTCTTTGTTGCTTTCGAGATGTCGAATAGATCGAAGAATCATCTTACTTTATCCATTGTTGTTGAAATCCTTTCGAACTGAAAGTTCGCTTGCGAATGAGAAGCAGAGATTACAGGTTCGTTGGAAGTTTACAAATCCCAACCATTGTACCTATGGAATTGATCGTGGAGGCTAGCCCTCGAAGAGTTTATGGGAATGCTCATACATATCATGTCAATAGCATATCGGTTAACTCTGATCAGGTGAGACGACAATTATATCCTTCTTTCTCCTTATTAGTATTGTTCTAGGAGACCTTTCTCTCTGCCGATGATCTACGGATCAATTTATGGCATCACGAAATCACAAATGAGTCATTCAGTGAGTTTTTCTGACTTTCACCTTCCACTTCCGCTTCCACATTTTGTGCTTCTAGATATTGTTGATATAAAGCCGACCAACATGGAGGAATTGACCGAAGTGATTACAGCGGCTGAGTTTCATCCTAGTCAGTGTAACTGGTGAGTTGGAGTATTATTATATTTCGAATTCTGACCGTTCCCCAATATTGAACTGAATCATTTTTATCAAATGAGGTTTCTCTTCCAATGTTAACTTTGAGGTTTGTATATTCGTCGAGTAAAGGTTCTATCCGCCTTTGCGACATGAGGGATCGAGCGCTTTGTGACGCACATGCAAAAAGTAAGTGTGTTTGGACTGTATCGCTATACTTTGTTCTTTTAACATTGGGGCTTTTCTAGTCTATGAGGAAGCGGAAGATCCAAGTTCTCGTTCGTTCTTTTCGGAGATAATTGCTAGCGTCAGTGATATCAAATTTTCGCATAATGGACGATATCTGTTGACGAGGGACTATTTGACTGTGAAGGTACTTTGTGCGCGTAAACTTTTTTCCTTTGCTTTAATGCATCAAGCCGAATCAGGAAATACAGTGCACAAACTGATTATTATGATCTGCTTTCAAGGTCTGGGATCTGAATATGGAAACTCGACCGATAGAAACCTATGCTGTTCACGACCATTTACGAACGAAATTATGTGCCTTGTACGAAAACGACTCCATTTTTGACAAATTCGAATGTGGATGGAGCGGGGATGATAAGTAAGTGTATTTGCATCTTTGGTTTCCGTTGTTCGACAGAAAAGTCCTGATGGTTTGTCTATCGGTCAATCTCACAATCAGTTGTGCGCTTTAGTGACACTTTCAAGTATTGAGTGTTAACTCAGCGAAATAATTGCTCTTATGGTAGTTTGGGCCTAGTTCTTAACGTTTTCAAAGCAAATTTGCATGGTTTTCTTACTCGGCATTCTCAGTAGTATAAAGTCTTCAAAACTGGTTCGAACCTTCGCTGAAGAGACTCTTGACTACGGTAAACATACTTTCTTTGCTGGTTGTCCAACCATAAATTGGCAAATATGGCTACGGTCGCATTTCCTCGTGTTTCTATATGGCAAATGATGTCGTCAGCTTAGTGTTTTTCGCAAAGGCTTTTTTCGTTCGCTAACAACGCCATTTTGCTGGAAACGTCATTATAATGTTTCGTTGATATGCTACAAAAACCCATCATTAGCGTTATTCCAGGCATATATTGACGGGTTCATACCACAACTTATTCCGCACGTATGCGCGGGGCTCTACAGAGGCTAAGACGTGGGAGGCTAGACCACAGGAACCACATTCGTTGCTGCGAACACGACGCGTATGTGCAGGAGCTAACGCCCGCGCCCAAAGAGCCCGACGAGGCGTAGGAGGAGACGTGAGTTTGCGGTCCACTTGAAGGAGATGATTTAGATATCTTTTTCTTGAATGTTTTTTACCTAGTCCAATGATGACGAATTGGCTGCGGATTCACTCGACTTTACGCGAAAGATCTTGCATACGGCGTGGCATCCAAAAGAGAACATTATCGCATTAGCTGCCACCAACAACCTTTATATATTCTCGGACAAATAACTGAAACTTGGGTACGTTTCACTTTGATTTTGGTTCCACTTTTTATATTCTAGAGGCTCCAAATACACTGCAGTGTTTTTATATCATTTAAATGTATCGGCATTTTTTGTATCACTATTTGGCTGTTGCAGCTAGCTTAAGTTGCTGTTTAATAAACAAAAGCATGCTTTTTAGCTGTCCATGCTCACAACTCGATGCCCGCTGTCACAACGATCAGTCCACAGCAGTGTTCAGTCGAGGTTGCCCCTACTCTTTCCTCATGTACTACCATCTTTTTTCTTTGTCAATTCGTAACGTGTACTAGTTGTTAGAGTTTTTATGAAGCGCTCATTGAGTCGTATCCCTCGTATATGATCGTATATATGTAGCCGTTGACGAGTATGTTTTTTCGCTGCAGAAATTAGAAGTAATTTGGTCGTTTGTACTGTTTGTACTATAATGACGCAGAAATGAGGTCGTTTATGCTAAAACGTACCTGTGCGTGTGTATTGTGTGAGTGCAGAATAGTGCTACTATCCTAGCAGTGCTCACTGCATGATGATATTTCTTCTGGAAAACAGAATGTTGTGATTGCATATGTATAACTGATTTTCTAGGTCTATCCTTGTTCCTTTGAAGTACACTTTTTGTAATATCTTTTCATGTAAATTTTTTTCTTGCGATGGGGACGGAAATGTCATGGTGGCAGCAAGTCACTCAGCTAGAATTGTAAGTTATGCCTTTTAATTGCGTAGTAGAAGTTTTTCTATTCAAACTGATTTTTTTCATAGATTTCGCCTAGTCAACATTATCTAATACATTTGTACTAAGTGTAAATAGCGTTCGTTTTAGCTGGAGAAAAGAAAAGAAGCTAGTAGTATCCCTGGAATTACTACCGAGGGGGGGGGATGCTGGATGTTGATTGAGGTAATTAAGTGCATTTTGCGTGCGATTTTTCTCGAATATCTCCCTTATTTCGTTTTACTTTCGAAATTGTGCGATTTTTCCAGAAACGAACTTCGAGATTTTATACTTTTTCATAGTCAAATTGTATTGCCAGATATGACATAACTTCCCCATCGCCATCTGCAACCGTTTTCACACTGTTTTTTCGATTTCTTCACGCTTAGAGCTACTCCGGTGATGCACCGGGTTGCATCGCACCACCTCCTCGAGATATATCCACAGGTTATCACTGCGTATGTATATTTTGCGTGAGTGGTCCAGATGTCTTATCCGGTGGTGTGTCGATGTACTCTCTGTTTTCATCTCGCGAATCATTTCACTTCTTTTTTATCGCGTACTCGTGTTCTCATGCGACTGAACTAGAGGCGATCCTCCTCTGTATCGCCTCGCGACGCGATTAGGTATAAGTGATATTGGCGACAGCAAAATGCTGCCGTCTCGTTTAGCCTATATAATATTTTGTGTTATGGATGTGTGGTGACTTAGACGCTACGCTGAGTAGCGGTGCGCGGTCCACTCGTAACACCTTTCTTATTTCCGAACGTACTGGTCTCCTACTCCCAATTGTTTATTACACATCGAACACATTCATTGCGAGTCTGTCTCTTTTCTCTGTCCGTTATCCGTAATCGTATAAGATTTATATATTTTTGTCGATCATCCATACATAAATTCTTGGAATAAATGGCCAAAGGTACTTCATACATGTGTATTAAATGGTTTATTGCCACTGGGATGAGTGATAGACATTTACGATATTTGGCTTTTCAGTAAGATATCAAACACAGAAAGAGCGTAGTTTACGCATAATGCTGAGGTAGATGAAGTGAGAAGTGTGCAAACAGAAGCTTGGAGGAGAAGCTTTCTAGAAGAAGGTATGCATTTTATTTGCATCTCGTGACCTTCTATAGACAGTCTTTTTTTTAATACTTGAACTTGTGCTGTTAACAACTATAACATGCTACTAGCACAACTTTCTCGACTAGGTTAGTACATGCCGGTCGAACAGCTTGAGTCCGGAGACCATTCGAGACAAAATTTGGACTTGACTTTTGGGGAAATCTGATGCTACTTCCACTGTTGGGATAAAACGACTGTCGAACAAGTAGTTCCCTAATTACTAAGTTTGAGTGTAATCTTAGGCAAGCTTTTCTTCGTACTCGTTACGCAATAGTTAGTGTTAAAGGCAGCGTCCAGGCAAATCTGGACATATGGGGTTCTCCGGTGGACGGTAATTTTGGAACCTTAACTGCCCAACCGGCAGCTTATTTGATGTTCCAACGGCTGAGATACTCGCCTCCAAAGTGGACCCGGGATCGTGTTTCACATGGGTTCGTGGCGCGACACATCAAGTAGGTGCTAGAGTAAGCGGATATTTTGTTCGGCTTCGTTCAGTTGCAAAAGGCGCACAGAATTAACGTTGATTCTGCACACCTGCAGCTGAAGCAGGCCTTGGCAGCAGCAGGGATCATCCAGATTTGCCTGGACGGTGCCTTTAATGGTGCATATGCTACAGAACGAAAGCGCAACTGATTTGTGAAATTGCATGGAGACTTCTATGAAGTGCGTCGTTTGCCCAAGTGATAATTGGGGTTGTTATATTTTGATTTTCATTCATTCGATATGCTTTAGACGTTCTACATGAAGGAATGAAGAAAAGCGATGTAAAATCAATATACACTGAATATGATTTGAAAAAGAAAAATGCAAAAATATACACTGAACATGAATTGAAAAAAAAACAAAACAGGTCATTACGCCAGTTGGAGTCGTTTCTGTAGATTGGCAAGAGGGTAGTAAGGGACAGCCTGCGTGGGCCATGGATGTTATATAACTTCACGCATTGACATGAACACGTTATATGCGGGGAAACAGCATTAGGAACTAGAGGGTAGGGAACGAAAGTCGCCAGTTTGAGACGTCTTTTGCGGCCAATTGGTCCTTTCGCAGTGTTGTTGCATGTCGTTCCAGGACCAGCCGTCCGCGGAGGCGGCCCAAACTGGCGGTTTCGTTCCCCTACCCGGAACTAGATAATATTAATGGACATGGTCCCCATGCCCTCTCGTTTGTCAGCAAAACGATCTTAAATTAGTCAAAAAAGAAAGATGAAAAGCTTGGCTTCGCTGGTGACGACCAGCCATGCTCGAGTCAGAACTGCTGGGGAGAGTCTCAATGATCCCAATGTAGTAGGGAATACGGTTTAAAGTTGTAAATTTGGGTTAGCAAGCTGTACCCTATCTTGGATTAGAGATATATACTTGACTCGAACTAACTTGGTGATGTTACTACATTACTACAGGCTGAAAGTTCTTTGGGGAAAATCTGCGGCAGTTCCGTTGCTCGATAAAAAAAGTCGTATTCGATAAAGTTGGTTTCTTACGCAATCCCATTTGTTGATAATAGAGAAACAATTAGTTTTTCCATGAGGAAGGTCTTCGCAGAAAATTCGGCCAAAGCCTTTGCCTTGGTTTGATCTGTAAGGCGCGTTGTATTTAATGCATCCGTCAAAGCAACATGGTTTCTGACAGTTTTTTGAGGAGAAGAGATTTCTAGAGGTTTGGGAAGCGTTTTTCATAGTTTGCAAGGAATTTCTTGACATGATATGTTATGTCCGAGCAAACTTCCTTGTGAAGCGGACTGTTAGATCGAGTTTTTCTGAAAAACTTTTTTTTGGAAAAGTTTGAGATATCCAGCCTCAAAGTCAAAGGGAGTATATGCTGCCTGTTGGCACATAATGCCACAAATTTATAGTACATATCAAAAGGACTATCATGTTGATCAAAGCAATTTTTTAAATCTACACGTTGTAGTTCTGCTCTGATTGCATTGAAATCAGTGTTAGAGAAACGAGAAGTTGGGATAAGCATGCTTTTGCGATGCTGAATTTGTAGCGGAACTCAACTGTGACTGGGTTATGGTCACCTATTCCAAAAAGTGCCTTCGCCAATACTTCGTCGATAGAATCGGAATGTGCTAAGACAGATCAAAAATAGCATCTTTACGTGTAGCCTTATCAACTGGTGTAGGTTTAGGTTCTGGAAGATTTCGGAAACTTTGTGGACCAGGCTGTGGTAATGCAAGATTGAGTATCTTTTAGAAAAAAGTCACCAGCGATCAGATCATTTGTTTCGACTGCGCAGGCGGAAAGGAAATCTAGAAGAACGTTATCAGATTCATAGTCAGTGCTAGGAGGTCGATAGACACATCATGCATATCATGACATAATTTAGCAAGCGATCGGGATTGGTAGAGGTCAATCGCTGTTACTTCGTAGGCGGTGATGGTATTTGAATTTCAAGGCTGCCTCTAATCAAGGAAAGTGTCAGAAGTCGCAGTCGCGTTTTGACATGAGATATCATCTGGAACAGCTTGGAGCGCTGATTCCAAAACAGCTTTTCTTAGCTGCGGTTTGGGTCGCGAGCTACAAGCTTTTCTCATCAAATTTTACATTGTTTGGAGAATCGTGCGAATGCTTGTTAAGCATCACAGTATAGCTTGAAGAAGGAGTAAAATCACTTTGACTATCGATAAATATTTCATCTAAGCTTGAGCACAAAATATTAGGTCGATGCAAAAGTTTTGTCAGTCTCTTCAATCCATCGTCAAACATGCTAGAAGGAAGATAAACAAACGCTTCAAAATGTAGCCACTGCAGAAATTCTTCCTCTTTCCAGCTGCTAAACTCCCACTGTGTTTCTTTGAAAGAGTGATGAGATATTCGCTGAAAATTGTAACCATTCGTTTTTACCATGCTAATTTCTATGAGACTTTTGAAGGAGCCCTATTAATCAGCAGATAGGACAAACCTTTTGCCAACCGATGCAATCTTTTGTGGCCCTATGGCTTGTCTCTCAGAATTTCTACGATTTATTTTTTGAGGTGACCAAATTTTACATTCAGCTTACTTTAACCTCGTAAAACATAAAATGTGAAACACTTCAGTCACCATTCGTCGCAAATTTTTCTCCTCTTTCTAACACTTGTCTTTTTTGCCGAGACAGGCGAAATTTGTGGGGAAAATCGCTGTTTTTCTCAATTTCAGGAGTGCGCGCTGACGTAACCTATGTTTCAAAATCTTCATAATTTGAAGCGAAAATCGCTCATTTACTTTGTAATGGTAGCGGTAGTAATAATCGAGTTTTGAAACCTCAGTGTTCTGTAGGTTTTGCAATGTTTGGTGCTATAACAGTTATGCAATTTCTTCAAAATACAAGACTTTTAAAAAATTATGTAGCGAAAATCTGAAAAAGCAACTGATAAAAAGAAAATAATTGCATAAGTTGGCAAAAGGTTTGCGCTATCTGCTGGTTATTAGGGCTCCTCCGAAAGTCTCATACAAGTTATGAAATTAGTGAAAGTTGGACATGGTAAAAACGAATGGTTGCAATTTCCAGCAAATATCTCATCATTCTTTTAACAAAACACAATGGTGGTTCAAAAGCTGGAAAGAGGAAGAAATTCTGCATCGGATGCATTTTGAAGTGTTAGTTTATCTTCATTCTAGCATGTTTGACGATGGATTGAAAAAACTGACAGAACGTTTGCACCGAACCAATACAGTCTGCCGCAATCGGGATCAGACCGAACCGTCGGCTGAATTTGCGCGCCGCAGCGCTAGGGGTTTGCGCTGCATTCGCGCGCTGTCACAGAGAGCGAAGGGAATGAGGAGAGAGCAGACAAGCTAGCCGCAGATGTGGCGCGAAACCCTCGCGACGCGGACTCCCGCCATGCCGAATTGGCCTGGTTAGGATTGGGGCAGACTGTACACTGGCTGTGATAGTTTTGGCTGCCCTCAGCGTTGTAAATTTCTTGCAAGTTTAGTCAATAACTCCCGACCCGGACTCGTTCTGCAGCTAAGAAAGGCTGTTTTGATTGGCATTTCATGCTGCTTCAGATGATACTTATCTCATGCCAAAAGGTCATTGATTTTTGACACTTCCTTCGTAAGCATTAGTAGTCGCAATGATTGAAAAAAAATAAAAAATGGAAAGGACAATAAGTTTCAAAGGAAACTCACGGTTGACGAAAGAGCATATGAAACAGAGATCGCTCATGGGTGCAAGCAAGAAATCGAGTTATGCGCGATTCATGACGCGCCGCGCAAAGACTGGGCGCCTTTGCGTCCGGCCGAGATAGTTCGTACATGGGAGAGACAGCAGATGGTAGGAGGAACGAAAGAGTGCTCGATCAGAGAGACACCGATACGTCCGAGTAAACCAACCAACATGAGAAACACAGTCGAGTTGTTCTGTGGCCCAATTTGTGCGAATGTTTATTTTCGGATAAAGGCTTTCCCAGCTTCTTTCTTAGTTGACCCATGCACCTATTGGGAGGAATGTAACTTTCTTCCAGGGTCTGTATCCTTGAGTTGGGATGCTTCGCTATACATCTACGCGCGAGTCATTTGCAATACAATATGTGAACCTGCACATTGCGAGCGGCAGCAGACGACTTACAAGTAGCTGACAGTGAAACCTTCACTGTAGTAACTATTTTACTTTACGGCCGCTGCTGATTGGCATGCTTCCTTCCAATACGTCTTCAAGGTTCCTTTCGTCAGTGGAAGTGAGTTGGCTTCTACTGCTTAGGTATACCAAGTCACCAACTTCGAAATCTCTACGAAACACCATGCTTCTTGTCGAACTGGTCTTTCATGCGCTCCCATCTTTTTCCCACGAGGTGTGCTGCATCCTGTGACGGTAGTAAGCACACCCAAACTTGTGCGTAAATTCCACAATTCCGCTGGGGTTCGTAGTTCAAGTTCGTGTTTGGTTATCAACGCTCTGCCTGTCTCTTCGATGAAGGTGGTATACGGAGCAGTCCTTATGTAAGCGATTCCACCTTCGTCGCTCATCTTGAATACTTCCAAAGTAAATAGTTCATTCTTGCTTACTATTGTTCGTGGTATCCATATCTCTCAGGTATTCTTTAACGATTTAAAATATTGCTCATTTCGATCATTTTAGGCCATTTACTGTATGCTTCCCACCACAACCAGTAGAAAACTAGAAGACCCCGCATAGGTCTAGCAAAATGAAATATTGCTCATTTCGATCATTTTAGGCCATTTACTGTATGCCCACCACTACCAGTAGAAAAGAAGACCCCGCGTAGGTCTAGCAAAGTGATGTGTATCCGCTGAGAAAGACCCCGCGTAGGTCTAGCAAAGTGATGTGTATCCGCTGCCACACTGAGTCGCGGATGATCAGGCTTCTAATGGTGCTTTCGTTGGATTTTTGCCCAGATATCCGTATATCATTGTACCAAGTCTTCGCATTCCTTGTGCCAAGTACTAGGTCAGTTAACATAACTTCAAGCCAGCATCTTCATCCTTACAGTTCTTGGACGTCCAACATACATTCTCTCAGATCAGTTACTTGAAGCTCTCTGTTGCCTGACAACTGACAAATACATGTCGTTAATTTTGAAAATGCGCCAGTTCTCCATTTCCTTCTGTCGCTTTCCTTTCTGCTTTCTGGGAGTTCTTTATCTTCTGTGAACTCACTTCTTTCGGACCTTTTCAGTTTTCAAACTTTTCGGCCGCACAGAAGAAAAGAGCAATATCTATTAAGAAAAAGTAATTAAACAATAAAAGTCGGAGGCAAACTCAAGTGAAGTGACTTTGGCTAAAACTAAGCCCCTTATGTAGCTCACTTCCCACGCACACTGAGCCCGTATCGACTACGCGATTGCAGAACGTATAAGAAGCAACTGGTCACTTACGAACACAACAGTTCTCATTCTTACACTAATCGTTAACGTTTTTGCATATGATATGCACATACTGGAGTGACTAAACTAAACAATCAGATGATGCCTTTCTTAGAGTGTTTTGTGCTCATGTGACGTTTGAGTGCGGGCAAAGACCGTCGTCAAAATCTTTGCCGCGATGTTATTAAACATACATATTGAGAAGAATTTCCGAGTTTTGAGAAATTGCAAGACATATACGTACAGTTCTAAGCTACATAGCTGTAAAAATACTAAGCTACAGTAGCTGTAAATTTTTGGTACATAATAAACGTTATCAATCTCGTAGAAGTGAGGTAGAGCGTTCAAGACGACTTCTTGGCAGTAGCATAGCTTGATCGTTGGTACCGAGTGTTTGATAGCAGGTGACAGGTATTCTAAAGAATGAAGAGTATGCCATCTTCGACATGATTAAAGTTGAATTACCGTCATAGATTACGGTGTAATGTCCTTTTCCAAAGAGCTGCAACAAAATCAAAACGGGAATATTTGAGGTTTATCGTTGAATAGTTGGATGCTATGACACACATAATTCGTAAAAGTGGCTGGGAAAGGAAAGGTGGGAGCAGCTGGCCGGCTGAAAAATGTGAATTTGCGGTATCTCTGATCAACATATAAAGATATCTCTAATAATTGTATTCATATATTGCGCAGATAGCATGATGGTTGAGATTTGAGTGGAGATAAGGCACTTTCAAAAAAACGTAGAAAGTAAAGTATTCGTTTTCGAAAGCATTGGTCCTTTGACAAAAGAACTCCAGGTAACAATTCTAATTGATCAGTTTATAACAATGCAGTCGACATTGAGCGGTGATCTCAAACATGCCATATCATCATCTCTAGATGTGCTTTCAAAGAACAAGCTGTGATTCTGAAAGAGGAGGGTCAACCGTATACGCTAAGACTGGCGCTAGATATAGTATCCCTACATGCGCCTAAAAATGTTAGTGGACGCAAAACTTGAGTATGTGCGCTGTATATGGCATGCGCGATTTGTCAGCATTATAGGCTTGGCAATTTGTGGAGATTGGAATTGGACTGTGGATCAGATGATCGAGTTCTGACATTTTTACCGATTTTTTAAGTTCAAAAAAAGTTTGCTTGTTTTCGTATACACTATACTCACTATACTACTATATTCATAAACTTCCCGTAAGCAAAGCCGATACCGGAAAAATTCGTTCTGGAATCGTCCAATAATTTGGAATTTGAAGGTGTGGTAATTTTCTGCGGGTTTTTTTCACTCCGTCAAAGGGAACGGAACAGAGATTGAGAATATATTTACCTCTTACACCAAAAGGCTGCAATGCAAAACTAACCAGCTGCTTCGAATGACTTTTGATCAAGACTAATCATCTACGAAACCTCTAAGGACCACCCACAGGGCGCTTGAGCGCAGTTTTCTATAAACGGCATGACACAAACAGCATCTTGCCCCGCTGCAGGTGGTGTTGGCATATTTTTCAAAAGAGTTTCTTGCTGTTAGCTCCTCGTGTACATTATAGGAAGTCCTCTACCATGAGATTTGGAAGCTGTTGCGAACTGCGGAGATTCTTTACTCAAATCCGTCGCAGAAAGTGACAACAGGCGCATGCTCTTGAGTGAAGGTGATTCAACAAATTTATTAGTATCTAGCTTGATTAGTCAAAAGTTTATTACGCAGCAGCAGGTATTGGAAGTTGGTCTCACAAAAAGTCTCAGGGTCTCGGTCTCACAGTCTCGCAACAATTGGTCATCAGAGGCATATGCATACAGCGCGCTTACTAATTGCGTTCAAGTTGTAGGATCAGTGGTGAATTCGACTTCGTCAATAAAGCGCTTCTTCACACAATGCCACAAATATGTACCGACGAGCATCTTCAAAAGTTATCAAGGTTTGGCTTTTTTGGGCTGTTAGTATAGTTGCGGACGAGTCGCCTTCCTTCTTTCATCGCTCATTTTCAGATGGAAAACAAAGATGAAAAAATGGTTGGATTGCATGGGATGGTAGAGCTCAAGAGCTACAACCCACACATCGCGCTTTTTGAAAAACATGTATTATAAAAATTTTAAAAATCTTTTTCCAGAAAAAGTCCGAAAATGGTTGCGCCACAATGTCGCGGACAATAATTCTTCGAACGCGAAAATTCTCTTTTAGGTCTTTTCTCGGATCAAAGACAGTATTCCGGACAGGTAAGCTTACTATATTGTAGAGCTCATCGAGGACAATAATCGAGTAGTGGTCACTTCCAGAAAAACCCAAGCTTAATTTTTATTTTGCTTCTTTAAAAAAAAATAACTTTTATTTCCTTGCTTCAAGCCAAATTTCTTTACATGGAAACGTATTCAAGACATTCCAACAAAGCTGTTAGGATAAAATGAATGTTTGCCATTTTCTATGCATCGGACGCTGGTGAGTTTCTTCGCTGAAAATGGCTTTTGACAGTGCGTGCACAATACCCCACCTGCACCTAACCACTGACTTGCACCGCTTTGCAGCCTTGTAGCTCGGCCTGCAGTCAATATTTGAGCCTGCAGTTAGGCTCATTCGAAAGAACGAGACTTCCTCTACACGATGGTATGCAAAAGAGTTGGGTATGTGAAACAGCAGAGATTTGGCGGATGGGGTGACAAAGCGCAGCCTTAGAGATGAATGGAGTGAAGGCTTTTATCAACACTCGAACGGTCTTAGAGCTTCGGAATGGATCTATTACAAGAAAACTGACAGTTTTGAACTTCCAGGATGGAACTTGTAGCGAAAGAAGGTCTGTTCAACTTTAGCTAGTTTCTCATGCCCAACCCTATTGCATATCTTCGTGTCCAGGAAGTCAAGCTCTTTCGAACGAGCCTATTTGCAGTCTCGTAGAGTGACTGGTGGCTGAGCTACAAGCCTGCAAAGCGGTGCAGGTCAGTGGTTAGGTGCAGGTGGGGTCATGTTCCCGCACTGTCAAAAGTCATTTTCAGCGAACACACTCACCAGCAACGTTCGATGCATAGAAGATGGCAAAGGGCATTCATTTTATCCTAATAGCTTCATTGGAATGTCTTGAAGGTTTCCATGTAAAGAAATTTGGCTTGAAGCAGGGAAATAAAACTTATTTTTTGAAAAGAAGCAAAATAATATTCAAGCTTGGGTTTTTTGGAAGTAACCACTACTCGATTAATGTCCTCGATGAGCTCTACAATATAGTAAGCTTATCTGTCCGGAATACTGTCTTTGATCCGAGAAAAGACCTAAAAGAGAATTTTCGCGTTCGAAGAATTATTGTTCGCGACATTGTGGTGCGGCCATTTTCGAACTTTTTTTGGAAAAAAAAATTTTAAAATTTTTATAATACATATTTTCCAAAAAGCGCGATGTGTGGGTTGTAGCTCTTGAAGAGCTCTCACCTCATGCAATCCAAGCAATTTTTCATCTTTGTTTTTCATCCAAAAATGAGCGATGAAAAAAGAAAGGCGGCTGTCCGCAACTTTTTGGCGGTCGCTATATATCCTTTATTTTTCAGGATACTAAGGACGTATTCAAAATGAGCTTTTGCAAGCGCCAAATCTGAAAGTTTGATCGCTACACTTGATGAGTACTAAGCTTCTGGTACTAGACATTGTGCGATCTTGTGGGATAGCAAACATCAATCGAAAGTGTGCAAGACGCAAGCAACTTAAAACCCGTAAGTTACAGTCCTTGTAATTGTTCTATGACTCGAGTCATGCATTAGCCTCGATCCCCGCACCCATAACTTTGCCGCCAAAAACTTTCGGGCGGATCTCTCTTTGGGGCTTAAATATTGAATTTGTTGACTAACGCCCCACCCGTCCCATCAGAATCTGATGAAGCTCCATTCTCTACCTTAGTAAAGTATGCAATACCCCCAATTAAAACCCTACTTGTGAACTCCCAAAGATGCAGGGCTGGGAAGAAACCTTTCATCATCTGCTCTGTAACTCCGCACGAATATGCTTCAAAAGTCGCACTCATGCAATCGGTTCTCCTCCCAAACTAACATCATAACTCCTTTAGGAAGTCGCTTCAGCGGATTATAAAAGTTATAAGTTTCATAGGTGCGATATGTATAATCAAAACATCAAGTATCGAGCTCTCCTCGTAGCCCGTATTTAAACATACCTGATCTTTTCATCCTGCTGTGATATCCATCGACCCCAGACTTTATATACCGACTGAGCCTTCCTTTTGTAATCTCTTCTTTGCTCGCTGTAGTCATGGTTTTCGTCTGAGCGTCCGACCGTAGCAATACTTTGTCATACCATATTTGTTTAATATCCACCAGCTTATTCACAAACGCCTTTCGCTTGGGTATGATGCGACGCTGAAATTAGTAGGTTCGTTTTTTTGTTTTTACGCTTGGCCTTCAAAAGTTTGATCCATTTTGAAGCTGCATGGTTTCCAGTTTTTTCCAAAAGAACATCTCTTACAAAAAGGGCAATTAAGTCTTTGGCGGATACGATTGGATAGTTTATGTTACACATAGATTCGAATTTGAAGACTACTAGAAAAGTTCTAATCATCTATAAATTCAGTAGCTTACCATAATAGCAGGCGCACTAGTTTTGTATAAATCATCTGTCGGTAAGATATAGATGTTGAGCATAGTTGAATGTGCAGTTCGATGTCAAGCAATATGTGAAAGTTAGTCGGGCGACCGTTTCAAAACAGAATCGTAATTGTGAGCAACTCTTCTAGCATTTTATATCTTTGGAAAGACATCACTCACTTCATGTATCCAAAATTAGAATTTTTATGAATTATCATGGTAGCGCTTCATTAGTATTCGATGAGACATACCATGGTAGGCAACAGTGTTTTCAATCAACTGCTGACTAACGAAGGTTGTATTTCTGTTAAATGCTCTCTCATAACTTTCCTGCACATAATCATAACGTTCATCTTACCAATAAGCAAAGGTCGAGCGGCACCCCCACAGAGTGATAGTATTGTAATCGAGTCTGCCTTCCTTTTCGGTGAGCGCCTTTATCCAATCTTCCGCTCTGTTTTAGTCAGTTTACTGTGGTCAAAATACCCTTTTTAAACACCATGAATTTTTCGTTTGGCCGGGAAGCGCAATCTTAAGGGAGAGTAAAACTTGATCACACATTCATAAATGACATAATAGTATTTTAGACTTCAAATTTACTCTACTTGAAGGTCTGGGTGCCAGAGGTAAAAGTTTGCGTGCCAGTGCCTTGAGGGGAAAAAAGAGCTTTGCTCAAGGTGTTCGTATGATTCTCTACCACCCAAGAATAAATTTGGTCCACAGCGCTTAAGAATGTTTTTACTTGTGTTGCATATATTGCTTTTGACTACGATTTTGACGTGGCACTAGCTTTTCTCTGTTTCCTCGGAAATCCCAAACTCAAATTGTGAAATGTCTGTGTAAAATTATATACCGCACTTTATGTTCAAGGTGCCCGGTAAGTAGGACGTTACGAAATGTGTGGTATCTTTTTCTGAAAATATTCTATCACGGCGGCTAATATGCCTGTACTTATAAACGGTCTCTATATTAAAATACATAGAAGTCGCGCAACCTGAAACCATCTTATGCAAACCGCACTCCGGAGTGTGCTACCATTCCATAGTTACTGCGGCGCAGTCAACCATTATCTTGTTTGTAGTACCGTATTTAATCTTGAAGAAGAGAAATTACTGATATCCAGGCACAGACTTATTCCTCAAACTCTGCTTTATAGAATTACCGTTCCAAAATTTGATTGTTCGTAATCGGATTATCGCAACGGGATCGCAACGGGTACACTCTTTAGGTGACATTTTTTGACGCATTAGCTTCAGGATAAGTTGCTGAAGTTTGTGTGCATGTGCAAAAGTCAGTAGTATAAGTAGCACACTAAGATGTCCTCGTTTTTGACATGCAAAAATAATTTCATAGAACTTCGATTTTTAGATAGCGGATAAATGAGGGTGATTCGAAAGTAACGAGATACCTTGAATTTTGAACATTTTCAAAAATTTCTTTCTGATCAATTACAACCAACCAGCGTTTTGAACGTTTATATATGATGTGACCTTCACATGTTATTCTGATAGCACCTTGCAGCACTCACCCACATTACTTCGAATGGCATTCCAAATAAGTCAATCAGACTTTTTCAAACACCATCCGAGTCTGCGCTGCCATACTCTAAAGTCCGTGGGCATGCGATACACTGTTCAAAAGGGCTTCCAAGCTCTTTCTAATGATTTCTTGAATATACAAAAACTAGTAATTATTTCATATAACTGAGGCAGTTTATTCGAATGCAGTTGCATACGTTTTCAGGCTAAAAATGTGTTTTGACTCATAATTTTTCAGGATTAGAAAGTCGAGCGAGTTGCATACGCTTGGATAGAGCCCTATCACATACTGACCATCTCGTAGGCGAGATCATTCTATCGCTCTAATGAGAGCATAAATAATGTCTTCTAATACTCATGGTTATATCCTCTGTTGCAAAGCCTTAAAGGCAGCGGCGTGGCAGATTTTCACTTTCAGGGTTTTGGCAGATTTGGGGCTATTCCGGCCACCTGAATCACGATATGAACTCTCTTAGCGCAAAAAAGGACCCCTGAGACTGGCGCGGACGAGTGAGCCGTTTTTCTCTGCCATCAGAGACGCAGAGTATGGAACGGAGAGAATGCTAGAACAATTCTGCCCTACGAAGCTACGAGCGTTTTCTAGCGGAGAATATACTCATCTGAACAAGGTGTTAGGGGAGCGAAAGGAAGAAGGGGAGAGGCGCTTGGGCCGCCCCCTGGCTTGCAGAGTTCACATTTTCGGCGCGGAGTTGCTGTTTTCGTTCACTTGGAGGGCCTCCTATACATCTGTGTCAAAATCTGAGATAGGTCAATTTTGCCCGTACTTTAAGACCAGTAGGGTACCATGAATTTGGTGACGGTCCTCTTACTCATTGCAACACGGATATTTTTGGCAGCCTCAATCGTTTACTATCGCGGTGCTGTTCAAAGTACGAATTAGAACACGCTTTGGTGTTACTAATGAACCAGTAATCTAAAGGTGCAAGATCTAGGAACGTTTGCTTCCGGACCTGCTGCAGTTCCCCGCTATTGGAAGATTTTTGAACTGAGCTAACGATTCCTTATTTATTAGGTTAGAATGGCGAATAAATAAATTCGTCGACATGCAAATTCAAAGCTCTATAGAACTTCAGGCACCCCTATGGAGCTAAGATTCTTCTGTGAATAGATGACGCATTCGGAACGCACAACATCTATAGGCGCCGTAAAACCTAATTGACCGCGCCGTGCCTTGAACACCAGCGTAAGCGAGCGGTCGTCGCGAATGACTGTCGGCGTTCACTATATTCCAGGAAATCTTTCTTTAGCTTTCGAGTTGTTCTCGTCAATGCAAGGTATATCTTGACGAAAGCTCCCTTCACGAGTTTAAAAAAATATGTGTGGAAAGGGTGCTCGCTCATTGTCGCTCGCAAAAAGCCTGTAAAGCTTCGGGACCAAACGTTCCCAGCCGCGCCGCGCCTTGGTGTCTAAAGCGACGCGTGGGCAATTGGATTTTACGGGGTCTGTACTTACACTACTTTCGCCCCAGGTCATCGCTTTAGCCTTAGAGGGCGGCAGACATCACGAACTTGGCCATTCGCTATCCATTATCACGCTTCATGCCTTCCATTGGCATATGTTACCTTACAAAGTGATCGTGTGTGGTGGCGAGTTTATAGTATTTCACAAGAACGTTCCAGTCGATCAACATCTTCTAGGTAAAGAGTTTGAGCAGTTTATGACATTGCTGTTGTCTTCTTTCTAGACGTCGAAACTGCTCGCAACTACGCATTTAAGTCATGACCTGCTATAATTGTGCCGGGATGTTTTTTTTATCATAGGCACTGCTTCATTGTGTTGTTGATGATCCAGTTGTTTTTCCTTAATTTGTGATTATTTTTGACATTAACCTTCATTTTGATCTAGCTACAGTCGCTTCATTTCATATGATCATGTGTGTTATTGCACACACAGTTCACCTTTGGCGTCCCCATCCTGGATTCGTGGGAGAAACAAGCCCTCAGGTAAGTGTTTCCAAGGTGTTCTTAGCATTTTCTTTCCTTTTTAGTTATTAGTCACCTCAAATTGATGTAATCGATAACAATCGCTAAGTCTCTTGCGTTTTTGCGATTGCAAATCCAGGATGAGGACGCCAAAGTGGACTGTGTGTGCAGTGGCACACATGATCATATGAACTGAAGCGACTGTACCAGCTGTTCAGAAACTCAGGCTGAACCTCGCTACAATGTGCTGTCTGCGTTTTTCAAAATGTTCTGCTCTTAGTGAGGGATGAAAAACATTATCTCACCATCTATTACAAACGCTGGACTTGCTTTGTCACGTCTGTTTCACTGAGCAAGTATATCCGTACTTCCTTTTCTTTGGCATTCCCCGATCTGACATGACAGGGAGTAATATTCACGGGTTATCAGCTAGAGTTGTTAGACATTCGCTAGTCTCGTGTTTTTGTCATGAGGTCAGTATCAGTGATTTTTCCTTTCTCGGTGTGTGATTTCTTTCAGTAATGGAAGTAAAAAAGTACTGCTATATCTATCGTCAGGTTTCAGTATGTCAAAAGAAACGATTTTGCTCAAATGACTCAAGTCAAATCTGAAAATCCACACCCTGCTTATGAAACGTTCTATACTTATCTCATTTCAGTCACCGAGTTAAGTCGAAATAGGAAAGTTTGTGTGTACTGATTTCTCTTGACTATTATCAGGGCATGGATCTCCAGCAATAATTGTGCGTCCCTCAGCAATGATTACAAAAAAGTCCACTGGAGGCCAAATCTTTTTGACCACATTGTTATGCACTGAGTTCGTTACTGCTATCATTACGTAGCCAGACACCTTGCCATATGTTCTAAGCTATAGCGTATTACTGCTACCATTACGTAGACAGACACCCGGGCCATATGTTTTAAGCTATAGCGTAAAGTTCGTGATGTCTGCCGCGCCCTGAGGCTAAAACGATTACTTGGGGCGAAAGTATTGAAAGTAGATGTAGTGCATTCCGAATAGTCTGAATAGATAGCTTCACTACTCTCAAATATCAAGTAGTCAAGATTTTCCGTCACCAGAGAATGACATTTATGTCCTTATATGATTACACTTCCAAAAAATCGTTTTTTAATTCTTTTGAGTTTCGCTGCTAGCCTATAGTGAGTACATAGACGAGTAATTTGGTGATTGAGTACATACAACTTCTGGCTACATAGGGAACAAATGGTCTCCATTGGGGCTTTTGCGCAAGGTTCCATCACAAGGGCGGTGGTGTCAGAGGAAGGAACGCCCTAGTCAGATGTTCACAGACTACTGGTAATGCATACCGTGTTGAAAGCAGTGGCTCGGCAAATCCTCGACCTGGAGCTTTATCGCCTAACTAGGGTTCGACACCCAGAATCCGAAAATCCACCTTGCAGAGCGCAAAAATGGAGAAAACCAGCATTGTCCAAGACTCCTCATTTTGAATCTGGACGAGTGGAGCGGTTCCGGCCATGGTTAGAGACGCAGAGTCGTTGCGGGACCCCCATGGTTAGAACATTGCGGCATGCGATGGTGAGAGGGGAATCGCAAGCTCGTCTAAGTGCGTGTAAGAATGGGTTGCGCGTACGGGTTTAGGGGCAGTTTTCTAGAAAAGGGCAGCATGCCGTGCTGGACTGGCTCAGTTCTTATGTTTGGGGTGCAAGCAACCTTCCTTATCAAAATTTCGACATGTCCGGTTTTGCGGACCACTGCCTTTAAGACCAGCTGTCGAGGGGGGGGGGCTAATGGAGGTTATTCGTTAGCTTACAAGGGAATGTTCGAAAACGAAGTGGCCAATTCAAACAATATACCATTGAAAGCAGCATAAAACGCTGATTTCGAATTTGTATTCTATATCTGTCTAGCGCTTTGTGGACGAAGTTATGAGCAGTTTTATTGCTAAAAAATCGCTCATAAAAATTGCGAAAATGAGCACATTTTTGCACTTTCAACTCACTTTAGGCTTTAGAAATTAAAGTGACCTAGCTGCATGTTTTGGGCCAACATTGGTCCAACGTGACTCTACACCGTCAAATTTGCGCTTTGCATGCACGATTTCTTAGCAAAATAACGGCCTTTAACCGCTCATAATTTTGCCCATATAGGCGCTAAGCAAATATGAAATATGGATTCGAACTCAGCATTTTATGCTGCTTTCAAGGCTGTGCAGCTTGTCTATGTTGGCCACTTCGATTTCTGACATTCCCTTGTCAACAGCGAATGCATTATCGCGTTGCCGTTTGGAACTGTTTCAGCTAGGACCTCACTTTCCACTTACGTCCTTGTGCGCCCAGATTTGTCCGGACGCTGCCTTTGAGGCAGATAAGATATTGAGAAGCCATGTTAATCGTGAGCTATCAATTATTGACATACCTACATAAGAAATTTTGGTGGAAATAAGTCTACGAGACCATTTATATCACGACCGCGCCGTACGAAATGTAAATGAGCAGTACCAATTTCGAAAACAAGTTATTTTGCGGTGCAGTGCTAGACATAAGCGCACTGTGTTGATAACCGCGAATTAATGCTTTATATTAAGTGACAGACGATATGAAGATGGAAAACAATGCTCATAAGATTTTGAATAGTCGACATATCGTATAAGCTAGGAAGAGGTTGAGTAACACTAAGATTGCCGTTCCATAGTGATGCACCGAGTGTTTTACGAACACTTTCACGTCTTGTGAGACGGCCGCCACTGAAAAGAGAGCATTTTACTTTGCAGATTGGTAAGTAATTTTAAGCGAAGGTTTTTATCGAAGATTTACCATAGCGTTTAGCTTTGTAAAACGGTCCTCCTTCGGCTTTAGCTCGCCAGTCATTTGCAACACCTCTGGAGATGGTTGTAGTCCACAATGCATTTGGTGTCTGCTCTTGATCTATTTTTCCGTCAATGAGCTAAAATGCATTATCATCATAGTGGTAAAGTGTAACTTAATTCACAATAGTAATTGACAGTTTCACTGCGACCTCACCTTTCGCCCATCAGCTGTGTATGTGATCTTGGGACGGCGTCTGCGCTGAAAAAAAATCATGTGGACTGGAAACGATTTTGGCAATATCATGTTCATAGCGTCGTTATAAATTGAATCGTCTAGATTATCATTCAATCGTATGATTATCATTCGCTGTATTGTCATTAAGATCAATGAAAGTTCTTCAGAGCGTTTTACCTTTTCAAAGACTTGTTTTTCATCAGAGCGACCTTCAGAGAACTCATCGATGCTTGATGCTTCAATGGGTGAATTGAATACGTTAATCATATCTGATTAGTGTCGAGTCCTTGCCTGAAGGTCCTGTAAAACTACCTTCACAAATCTGTAACATGCGAGAAGCTTATGAAACTATGGGTACTCGATTTGCTCCACGTGAAAACAACCATGGGATGAAACTGAGGCCAAAAATTGATAGGAGATTCGGAATGTTCTTACGATTATGAGATGCGTAGACCAGACGTCTTTGTCACGAAATGAGCATTTGGAATAGACAGAAAATTGTTGGCACTTTTTGCGGCTCTAATTAGCCCCCCATTGCTGGACAACGCCTATGCAAGTATAAATTATCGATGACAGATTGTTCTTAATTATGGTTCAACTTTTCGTTTTCTTTCTACGGTGCAGTCTTGAATGTCATGCTCGTACAGTTCTTTGGATGTGGGGGATGATAAAAACAACTGCTGAGTCACTTGATTGCTCATTGTCATCATGTTCATTCGGAAAATATACTAATGCCGTCCTGTTTCTTTAGTTGCGAATTCAGGTAAAATATAGGCAAAGCATGCTACATATGGAGTTTCTCTTGATACAATTCGGGGTCTTTGAAAGCGATGCTGTAGACTTGCTGGTGTGGAAAAAATTGTTGGATTAGAGGATGTTGAGGTATGTAAGAATATATATATGTACATATCGTGGCATATCAGTAATTTGAGGATGATTCAAAACTAGCGGACGTTGTTCACTCAAACGTGGGTTGTTATGCAATCAACTATTGACTGAAGACTAGGTGAAAGAGATTTGAAGCTTATCGAAGATGACAACTTCGGAAGGTTTGTTATGCTCCATACGAAAACCTGTTTCTTCATTGCTATCTGTGGCTTTACGAACATGTGAGAGAGTGACGTTATTGGCCATTAGAATATTAGAATTAGGCTCGGATGGCAGAGTGAAAAGTAGGCTTTGAAGCTTTAAGTGTTACAGGTTAGTCTTTCGCAAAATAAAGTCACACATTATATTGTATAAATATCCGTAAGAGTGGTGCGCTACACTCTTCACAGATGCTCTGCTTAGTTATCGTCTTTGGAGGGAGAAGGCGATCCATAGGCGAGAACAAAACTTCTAATCTTACCGCTCATGTCGGCGTCCTATACCATTACGCCACGTTCCCTCCAGTATCGTGTATTTTTAGAATACATAAGGCTTTTGTATAAGTCTACGAAAGAAAAACGCTGGTATGGCAGCTTGCAACGTACCATGTTGGTGCTTGCTTCAGCTTAAACTCACTTTAAGGGGAAATTACTGATCACATTCATTATAGGGAATTACTGGTCAATCATCATGATTTATGGCAGGACGTCTGCAAACTGTAGCAAAATAACTGGCGATTCTAATATGATTGTAAAAGGGGCGAAACATGCATGCATACAGGGGATTTTCAACAGGTTAACTATGAAATGACCTGCATCCAGCATTCTTGACCTAGATGGTATCTACTGACCGCATCCTATCAGGGGCGGCACTGTGAGGCAGAAGGTGAGAAGAATACGTGAAGCGAATGAAGATGCCTTGCAAGGATGGGACCAATCCGGTTAGCAGCAAGAAGTTGAGAGCAACATGTATTTACGCATGCATCAAGGGACTGTACTGTCGCCCTTCTTTCCATCAAAGTTCTAGGTGCAATAGAGAGATTAGTTCAATCACCATGGATGCATTAGGTCCCCCATAAGTATAATATTTTCATATTCGAATCTTGGTGACTTCCAAAAACTAGGGTATCTACGAGGATGCAAATTTGTCGCAGTACTTCTTTGTATATAAGCTATATGATCACATATTTGCGAGGAACACAGAACCACTATGGGCAGAGTTCAAAAATTCAGCGTCAATGAAATTCAGATAAGGAAAGATTTATGGGACAAACTACTATATGCAGATGATGTAATTCTGATTGTTGGAAGTAGAGGCCGGTTTGAGGTCCAATACCATAAAGACAGGTGCAGGGGAAGGAACTTAGGCTGGGTTCATACTGATTTCCTTGTTCTGGAACTGTTCCCGCACAGTTCTCGCACTGTGCTGGAACTGTGCGGGAACTGTGCGGGAACAGTTCCAGAACTGTGCTGCATGCGCTGCAGCCGCCCCGCACCGTTCTGAACGGCGGGAGTTGGAGAATTTTGACCGTTCTCAACGGTTTTTCTTCCAGATTTCGCTCATTTTGGCCTTATTCCTCCACCCCGCTTCTTTGAAGCTGGGTTGAGAATTGAACGCTGTTCTGCTTCATGACTTCGTTCGCTCGTCCATCTTCTCTGCCATTTTTGTTCAGGCCTACTTTATGTGTTTCAGAGACTTGTCTATTTCAATTTCAATATAGAAGCGAGACCACGCAGCGACTTGTTAGTACACATGAACTAGGTCTGAACAAAAATAGCGATGAGAGAATAGACGAGCTCACGAAGGCCCATATTCCCGGATACATGGAGCAGAACAGCGTTCAATCCTCAACCCCGCTTCAAATTCACAGCTTTTCTCATCGCTAGGAGAAGCGGGGTAGAAGAAGGAACGGAGAAGCAGCGATATGAAACGAAAAAGGCTGGGAACGCCCAAAATCATCAAAAACAAGAGACAAGTCCCAACTCATGCAATTTCAGGATTTCTCCCACTCCCTAATTCGTGGCAGATGGCTATGGAAACTGGGCAGCCGCTTCCTGGAACAGATGAAGTAGTTTCGAGCAAAAAACACAAAGACATAATGAAATCGCACAGTAGCCCATCTTTCCGAATACACGGCGCAGAAGAGCGCTCATTCTTCAACCCCGCTTCGAGTTTGAAGTTCTGCTGATTAAAAAGGGAAGAAAGGCTGAGGAATAAGGCCAAAATGAGCGAAATCTGGAAGAAAAACCGTTAAGAACGGTCAAAATTCTCCAACTCCCGCCGTTCAGAACGGTGCGGGGCGGCTGCAGCGCATGCAGCACAGTTCTGGAACTGTTCCCGCACAGTTCCCGCACATTTCCAGGACAGTGCGAGAACTGTGCGGGAACAGTTCCAGAACATGGGAATCAGTATGAACCCAGCCTTAGATTCCACACTTCCGAACCCACTCACAGTGAGCTGTACCTTTGCAAGTGAAAGCCTCGGCGACGAGATACTGAGTAGAATTTTCCAGCTTGGTTGTATGAAAATGCTTGAAGCCCTATGGGACAAAGAAGAACTTAAGCTTGACTATATGCACAGTAGCACGACCAATTACACTATATATTAGGTCGTTCCATAAGTTCGTAGCGTTTTCATTTTCGTCGTCGTTTTCTGGTGAAGCAGTTGGTTTACGGCAAATTATCTGGTATCAATCGAAACAGCCAAGCTTTCTCTACAAAACCTGCTTGTTGTTTTTGAAGCAATCCTGATGATCTCTGGTTCATAATTTCTCAAAGCAAAGTTTTTTGAGTGGCAGAAAATGACCATTTCGGCACCTGTGCTTTTCGAATTTCGTCCATATCCCACAAATATTTCTCTGTATGTATAGTCGGAGTAGCAAGTAGCAAGCAACGCTGATGTGCTGACACAATAGTGTCCAGCCAGTATGCTAAAAACTGCTTAGACGAAGTTTCAGAAGTTGCTGTCTTTGACTGCTACAGCTTGAGTTTTACGCGTCGTTTCTTAACAGAATGTTCTCGTTCTGCTATCAAGCCTTGAGCGATAAACAGCTTTGTCTAGGTGGGGCAAAAGTTTGAATGCAACCGGTGACCAGCGATTTTACGCTTTCTCGGAAAATTTTGGCTCAGAAAACTTCCTCATTCCGTCCAAACGCAAAACACCTGCACATACCTCTACGTGCATCATAGTCCGGTAAACAGTATTCTTCATAACTCATAACAATTTCGAATAGAAATTCTCCTTTCGTAATTTCCGTATATAGCGCCGAAGATGGAGATGCCGAAAGCGCCATTTTTTGCTGCACAAAAAACTCTGCTTTGAGCAGTCACAAAACAAAAGGTCATCAGGTTTACTTTGAAAATGAAACGCAGATCTTGTGGAGTAGAAATGGCTCTTTCGGAGGGTACACATATTTTGCGGTAAACCTACCGCTTCACCAGAAAACGACGACAAGAACAAAAACGCTACGAACTTATGGAACGACCATAGTATCGAATGCTAACTGTGAACGCACAGCAAAGAAGGAAAGTCCGGTGAAATGAAGATAAGAATGTTAGGGACTCATCATGCTAGACCATGTCTCAAGTGAAACCATGCGAAGTAAGTGAAGATATCGTAAAATAGCAAGAGAAGCTGGTCCGATGTACGGATATGTGTAGAATTGAAAGAAGACCCATTACCAAATCGGCCATGGTTCGAATTATTTTCAGGAAATGTATCCATTAGAAGCACTCAGGTTGCGATGGTTGGATAAGAACAAGAACAGCGCTGAATACCTTGCCATAGAGAAAAATTAAGTTACAGTCAAGAAGTTTGGAGGAGACTCAAGAGTGGCAGACTGGTAAATCAGGGAAAAATGCAAAGGTAAAGTTCAAAGAGTAGTCTTGTAAATTCACTGCTAAGCAGCTCTCAAGTAGTTTGCTCAAAGCCCTTTCTCACTAATGATGCTGTAACTAATGGACAAGAGGTTACGTTTAGTGCATATTCCTTATCCGGATTCACCGACCCTGATTTCTGGCAGGGTTCCCGGCCGATGCTGTAACTTCTCAAGTAACATTTAATTAACCACAATGTCGTCAAACCAGATCGCATTTATGGGCTGCCAAAAAGTGCAAGTTTCTCCTGGCTTGGTGCTAGACCATGCGAAGAGCAGAAATCGATTGACGTAGGATTTGTGACTGTTGCTAATTAAACTATCAACGAGTCTACAGCTTTTCTTATACCAGACGGCTAGCCTTCCTTGCGGTGAGAAGGAGGCGCTAATGTAAGTAAAGTGCGGTTCATAGTTATACGAACACCTCAAAATTTAAAAGTTTTTGGACTTTTTGACAGAAACTCAAAAAGCCATTGGTACCACGCGAAAGAGCAGAGCCGAAAACAGTATATGATCCATAAGAATGGAAATGGATGTCAATCTTAAAAGTGTTTTTGCGCTTGATGCAAATTTTTAGCGGTTCATAATTATACGAACACCTCAAACAAAGGTCCATTTTTCATTCAAGATTGCAATTATTTGAGTCCAAATTTTTTGTAGAGTTACGGTAACAAAGTCTTACATATCTGCTACACACTGAACCCAGTGCAGTTCAAAAAGAGGACCGTTA